GATCAACATTGTCAGCAAACAGTTTTGATTCAGAAAATACTTGCTGGGGAAAGTCACGTGTGTAAGTCAAGACGGTAATAAATCCTAGCACAAAAACGGATACAACATAGACTGATCGTAATTAATTCTTTATTTAAACACATATGCAATGAAACAAAGGGATATCAAATCATATGCACCAGTCAATAATATTTAGTTTGTGATCAAATACAGAATATGGAGTGCGGGTAATAAAAAGAAGAACGACAATGGACAAAAACTAGTGTATCAGAGCGAAATGATGATAATAGTGGTTATAATGATCGGAGAGTCAGGTCACTTGGCACAAGTGCAATCAGAAAGAAATATTTCAAATAGGGGCGAAAAAATATTACTGCAGGATCGTCACAAACATTTATCCTGAGCCATATTTTATAACGTCTACAGCCACTGTGTTGTACCATCTCTAAGACTCCAACCAATTGGTCGTGAAGGACCAACAGAAGCCAACCCTTTGCAAATTTGTTTCCCCAACACCACGTCATAGACTGACCACCTCTCCGCTTCTTCCAACCAGTCCCAGAGTCGGCAAATAATGCACGACGTGGAATTCTCTGGGACGACATTCATAGAACATGTGCAAGCCACCGAAGTCGATGTTTCAAAGTAGTGACAACAATTACATTATCGTCTCTGCGCCCGAACACACGATGCCAAATCTCTGCATTACTGACATGATGTTGCCACTGCATGTCAGCAATCCTTCGGAGACAACGATGATCGAACACAGAGAGTCGTCTAACATCCTCAACTCGGAGAGACCAGGTTTCACAAGCACAGAGCAGAACTGCTCTCACCGACGCGTTGTAGATCCGGCCTTTTACAGCCAGACTAACATCACGAAGGCGCCAAAGGTGGCCCAGATTGGCATAAGCCGCTCTGGCTTTCACTATTCGTTCATTGATCTCATCACTCACACCCCCACCAGCACTTATGCAGCTACCCAGATACACGAACTTCTCGACTACGTCTATCTGCTCACCGTCCAGGATGGGTACAGGATTAGAATCGTGCCAGTCTTGTAGAAGTCTTTGCACTTCGAAGGTGCAAAGCACATACCATACCTACGGACACTGATTGCCAATTGATTAAGTACGGATTGCATGCCTTGGGCATTATCGCACAGTAAGACAATATCATCCGCAGTAGACGCACACTGCCATTATTTACATCCATCAAAGCTGTTTCCAGAATAGCAAAGTTGAAGAGGAATGGTGAGATTGGGCAACCCTGCCTAATCCCACTAATCGAATGGAACGGTGGAGAGAGGTGGTTGTATGCCCTCACTCTACCTAAGGTGTTTGTGTGTATAACTTCTAAAATATTAAAAAAATTTTCGGGTGGATAATTTCACAGAACAGTAATCACGATGTTCTAACATTTTGCGGAGGGTGAAGATAAGATCAAAATATGCTCGACCACAATGAAAACCAGCCTCGCGAGTCAATCTTTCTTTTTTGAACGACCTACGATGTATGACGGAAGCCAATAGTTTGGATGCAATCTCAAGTGGACGTGTCTACCGACAGTTGTTGTAGAAACGACTTGAACCCTTTTTTGAAGATATGGGTAACTATCAAGTCACTCCACGAAGCTGAGATACTCTCTAATTGCAAGATCTTTGTGAACAACTCAGTCAGTTTCTTAACCAGAAAGTTACCAACATTTTTAAAAAGGGCCGAAAGTAAGTCGCTTGAGCCTGGTGACCTGTTCAGCTTCAAGAGTTGAAGTTCCTTGTCGACTTCCGCCTCGTAAGGTGGATCAGCTTTCACAGATCATAGAGTGTAGGGCAGTCCTTCCGACGTGGTTGGGACATCAGACCAGTTAAACTGTTTCTCACAAAACTCGAACCATTGTCCAAGGCGTCGGTAGATGTTACTGACTGACATCCGTTCAGCTTCACAAATTATTTCACTCACACCAGACATCCTGCTGACGGTGATGCGGATGAGCTCTAAGAGCTTCCGACAGTTACCAGATGTGGTTGCTACTTCCAACTAGTAGACACGCCTCGACTATCAGGCCTCTCGGTCCTTACGCAAGCTTTGCAAAATTTCATTACGTAGCGAACTTCGTGCCTCAATGAGTTGAAAGTAACCTGTACAAACCCAGTGCTTAATAGAGGAAAGTTTCGCGTAGCCACAAGCGACTTTATTCGTCATTTTCATAGCGTCATGCAATCGCAAACAATTCTTATCTATACTTTTCAGTGGAATGGTAGCTAGTCGAACTTGAATCTAACTCACTTTGATATTTAGTTGCAACAGAAACTGCAATCTGTTTAGTGACATCGATCCATTTGGGACGATGAATTCGTTGGCCACTGAAAAGTAAGGTGAAATAGGTGCAAACAAGGATATAATCAGAGTCCAAATAGGTACTCCAAAAGAAGCGACAGTCTTGTACACAATCAAGCCAGCGGTAGCTGATCGCGATGTTATCATTCTGAGTCCAGGGTTGAGATACAAGGTGAGGACATCGGGCAGCACATCGATGATGACTGTGACGATAGTTATTGCCAGACAGAAACAGGTCGTTGTCTGCGCAAAGCGCCAGTTGACGGTCAACGCCGTTATTTGACTAGTGACCAACAAGTCCCCATCAGCCACCTACCTAAACCACTCTACTCTGTGCCCAGACGACCGACCTTAGCATTCGAGTCTCCGGCTAGTACTATAATATCCGTCGAATGCAGTCTTTATAGAACAACACTTAACTGGTTGTACAAATAGTAATAATAATATATATTTCTGCATGCGCAGGTACATCATCATTCATCGCATCCGGACTGTAATCTGTCAGGGTTTACACCATAGGCGAGCTGCTCAAGGAGTTGAAGAATGACGAAATCTATGAAATAGGAATAAAATAATAAACAAATGACTCAACGTAAAAGGAAAGCGATTATTAACAAAAAGTTCTGAGTACGATTTGGGTGAATGGGAATTAAAGCTTGGGTAGTTTTTCTAACAGTTCTCATCACTTGGATTTTGAGTGGGTGCGTTCGACCTGGAGATCTAATCCACAAGGCATTGGACCAACGTTAGGAGATTAAGTCCGATGGTAGCCGAAGATTAATAATAGGTTCGTAGTTATTTTTTCGATCAGGATCATCAGATTCATGTGAATTACCGGTTTGGAATCCATGCTTTCCAAATACTCTACGTGAATCGTCTATGTTCACCAACCTGGTTAAAGCGTCGGACATTCTCTTTTCGTTTTCTCAATCTCGTAAACAACACTATCTTTGAGAGAAGGCAGTCAATAAGACCTTCCTTGAAATGTCTTTATTGAGTGACTACGTGAGAGTCTCAAGAGGGAAAGAGAGTCCCCTTATTCTCGGCCGTTACAGGACATTTGAGCGCTCGAGGTAATTGATATCTGTGACTGACCCTATCATAGGCTCTCGTAAAACAGAGTTATATCACATCCGATCAGTTCACGAATCGTCTGTTGAATGTGATACGATTAGAAGCAACAGCTCAGTCAACGAGTGTATTCCTCGAAAAAGAAGTACGACATATGGAGTTGAGTCGGTATAACCAATTGAATATTGAAGAAAAAAGTTTCTAAACTCAGTGAAGAAGGTACTTTTAATATAAATGGAAGATGGCTATCGTTCCAAACTCCCCGACTATCAGACATTCTCTACTTGGCCTCAAATAGAACGATGATTTACACAGATTATCAATCTCATAAGACGTGTATGGTCATTTTTATCCATATTTTTTAAAGTGGCTATAAAAGACTCATCAATAGAACTACTGAACTTGTTGTTTTCGGAAAGTTTTACACAGAAGCATCCGAGCTAATGCTCATACTCAAAAAGACAAAAATAAATGGTTCATGCTGTTAGCAATCACACTAGTGGTTGTCAAACATCAACAGAACATATGAATGCATGAATCCCTGAAAATCATGCTAGCCTACACGCACGCAACCAACCCTATACGCTTTAAATACAGAATGCCCTCTAGATAGTATAGTATTACAGGATGATCTTAGCTCATTGGTGGCATGGTTGGACAGGTGGTCACTAGAATTAAATCTTAATAAGAGTGTGGTGATGCAATTAAATAACTATTATGAATCGTATCACTACACAATATGTGGATTTGTGCTACCCAAAGTAAGAAACTATAAAGATTTAGGAGTCATATTAAGCAGTGATCTCGAAACCAATAGTCACTGTAAGGCTGCTGCTGCAAAAGGCTATAGGGTACTATGGTATATTCGTAGGTCTTTCCAGTATTTAGATGATGAAATGTTTAGACTATTAAACCCGATTTATGTGAGACCACATTTAGAATATTGGATTCAAGCAGAGACTCCCTGTTTCAAGTATGAAGCAGATATGCTGGAAAGTCTAACGACGAGGTACTAAGATGGTACAAGGTCTGTCTGGCCTATCTTATGAAGACAGACTGAGACACCTTAACTTATTTCCGTTATCTTACTATAGAATACGGGGTGATCTAATATTGGCTTACCGTATACTGAACGATGACCTTGGTATTAACATGTCTTATCTTTTACTCCCGTCTAGGACTGATCATTTGAGAGGACATTCGAAGAAAGTTCAAAAACTTAGATCAAATCATTTACGTCTGGAGTTTCGTTTCTCGCACAGAGTAGTGAATTGATAGAATTCCCTACCGGAACACATAATATCGACACCTGTTAATATATTCAAAACGAGGTTGGACCTCCACAGTTTTGCAAACTGCAAGGATTAATATAGGTCGGTCGACCTCCTATCCTTATTACTGAAGACTGATCTTTAAGCCGTTAAAGGTCTTGTGAAAGATTGCGCGATGGTGTTTAGATTTTACTGTTTTTCGTGTTTTCACATCAGTGTTCGTCTCATGGATTTACAGATGTCAAAAATTTGATTTAGTCCCCAGACTTTCCAAGATTATAATTTCAGACGACCAGTCCTATATGAAACGTTCATTCGTACTAAGTTTGTGCGCGGTGATTGAAATAAGATCACTGCTACTTTTTAGAATGAGGGGCTATGTCGATAAAATAGCTATGTATTCGAATCGTATATTCCCATTTCTTTCCTTAGTGTTCGGACGTTAAGAACCATCACGAACGTGATGGTTCTTAATTAAAATGGTAGGCTGGTCAGTCTTCTGTCACTCCGGAATTTCATAATTTCCCCGAAAGTTTTGGAAGTTTCACCAAAATAATGTGAATACTTTGGGAGAAGATTCAGACTAGGGGAATTTTTGGGCTTTCAGTCGCACTTTTTGTCTATTGAAGCCTTAAAATTTATCACTTAAGTGATAATAGTTTCCCCCATATCCGGGAAATTGGAGAATGAGAAATTAAGCTTGAGAGTTTATTTTAAATGCTAATAGACTCCCACTGTCTGTGTAGAGAAATCAGATACTGTGAACATTCGTATGTATTGTCTCTTGTATAATTTCCATTAATTCCACATACAATCTTGTTTGATAGTCCCTCTTCTCACTTTAACATTTAGTATTGTACCGTGTTATAATATACCCGTTACATATTTGGCGAGTCTGCCAGAATGCAAACGTCTCAGTGGCAAAATGTGGGCTTATTCTTAGCCATAATTAATGTAGAAACAATAGTTGATGCCTTGTAACAATTTTATATTAGTAATTCAAACTCTTATTCTTCACTCATTTAAACTCGTAATTTAACAGCCATCACATACATTCATTACTGGATGACTCTCATGGTAGTAAAGACATTAGAATTGAAACTATTATATCGAGTTCAAATTTTCGTTCCACTTTCAATGGAGCAAAACTGTGTAGTGTCACCAGCCTTAAAACGTGGATGAAATAAGTTATGGAACGTGAGTTCGGTTACCAAGTTATATTCGGAAACAATATTTTCGGAACTTTTAAGGCCAGTTGCTTCTGTGTTAGCATCTTCATTACAATTCTGTTTTCGCTTTCCTTACAGTCATCTGTCTGTATTTTAGGAGACATCGGACACTGAATTTAGTGATGAACCTTTGCTGAATAGTAATGATTCTGCATCTGGCAGTTTACCAAAAGCTGTGGCTAGATATGAAACAAGCTTGTCCGAAGCAGCACTTAACTGCAAGAAAAACTACAAATTTGATTTGTTGGATCTTTTGACAACATCTACTAAGTCAAACCAATGTATGCTTGGGATCGATGAAGCTGGAAGAGGTCCAGTCCTTGGTAAGTAAGAGGATTATTTCATCCTTAAGTCATTCATTATAAAAGTAATCATATTTAATAAAGTCGAATACTTTCTTTTTCTCTTTCTATTAATGTATAGGCCCTATGGTTTATGCATGTGCCTTGTCACCAATAAGTCGGTTGAATGAACTAAAAACTATTGGACTTGCTGGTAAGTATTCATATGTAATGTATCAATACCGATTAGTATCATGCGTATGTATGAATTTTTAATGATTCTATTCCACCTTTTCTTTCTGTTTCACTGAAATTCAGATTCAAAGACATTAAATGAAAATCAACGTGACAAACTTCTTAAAGAGATGTTGAATAAATGTGATTGGATATCAGCTGTCGTCCATGTGATTAGTCCTGTATACATTACCGAGAAAATGCTAGATAAGTGAGTGTATTATCCGGTTATCAGTATTTGGTTTCATTTTGTCTGAATCATGTTCGAAAGGTCGGTTGTCTTGATTGTGATCCACAAAAGACGATCTGTAATCTGTGATTCAACACTAGGTAATGTGTCTTTCAATATTTTAGTAATAAGATCTGGGAAGAAATTGGTGAATGCAAACTGATCACTTTTAAAAGTTCATTACCTCCCATGTGTTCGGCCATCAGCAACATAAAACTTTGTGTAAATATACATCAACTGAAGTTGTAACATTACTTCAACAAAACAATAGGAAGTTGACTAAGTGAAAAAACAAGAACACTTATACTTACCGTATGCCTTCATAAACTATCTTCCATAGTAATACATCAACTAGTAAGCCGAAAATCATTCGCCAATATTTTTTTAAACTGCTGTCAATGTATCATATAAAATCTTCAAAATAGTTTTACGTCGCACTGAATTATGTCACTTAGATTGTTTTTCTTTGTTATCAGGTCGAAAACTAGTTTAAATGCTATATCTCATGATTCGGCCATACAACTTATTCAATCAGTTCTTGACAGTGGAGTAAATTTGGTTGAGGTAAGAAATGTAATTCACATTATAACTATAATCAACAATATATTTATTATTTTGCTATTTCTATTTTCATTACCATATCTTTTGGTGATTTGCGTGCCCGTTTTTCTTCCAGACTAGGTCATCACACTATCTGGTGGTTAAAACTCAGAAAGGTAAAGCAGAGTTAAAAAACTTTTGCAAATTTTAACTTAGGTTACTCTTTTAAAGAACAGACCTATTCCATCTCTAATGTGAGCATTAAAAGAGTTTTCCAACAGCTTAAATTTAGTTTTACCTATTTTTGAAATAATCAACTTAACGTGCTTACTCAGTTGCATTTCATTCTGTATAGCTGACTTGTGAAGTATTAAAAGTCTAATGAACTTGTATAATAAACGGGATACACCCATTAAGACATTAAATAAGAAAGCTTAGTTCAGCGAAGAGTTCTCTTTTCGGCGGATTCATTTTCGAACCTGTACAATCGCAAATATATATACTTATTTTTACAGGATGATAATAATACTGACAATAAACTTCTGTTAGACATGGTGACAGTGAAGTCAAATGAAAAAAGATGGGAACCCAGCTGTGGAAACTTGATAGTTGGCTATTCCATATGGGTTTCCTGCAGATAGGTCTTCTCAGAGTACCATCTTGCTTTCCCGTCATTTTCACATCAAGAAAGTGAATGTTTTGTTTGTTTTCAACTTCTAGTGTGAATTTTATTACTGGGTGGCAATTACTAAACGTCTTTAGGAGATGACTCAAGTAAGATTGGTTGTCACAAATGATAAGCTGAAACCAAACAAAATATTTACTTTCTTGATGTGGAAATGACAAGAAAGCAAGATAGTGCTCTAAGAAGATCTATCTACAGGAAACCCATGTGGAATGGCCAACTATCAAGTTTCCGCAGCTAGGTTCCAGTCAGTAGAAAAAGAAACTTAATAATAACACTCACCACAAGAATACTACGAATCTGTAGTCCCAAAGTTATAGATGAAGAATTGGCCTCTTGAGGGAGATACTTATCAAAAACGGTTATCCTTTAATATTCATTGATAAGAACATGAGGCCGAGAACTCCGAAAACACAAATAATTACAGTGGAAAAGAAAACTTTATACATGAACATCGACTTCAAGGGTGACAGAGCCATATATATCCTGAGGAGGAGAATTTATGATTCCTTAAAAAGAACATTCTTCGCAGCAACATTGCGGATAGTGTTGTTCAGTCGACCATTGTTCACTAATAATCTTAAAGATAAATTATCGCATCTGACCAACTCAATGTTCATTTACCAATTTACCTGCCCATGTGGAGCTATATATATAGGTCGTTCGATGCGTACTTTATCCAAAAGAATTCAAGAACATTGTCCGGCGTGGCTAGAAAGAGGAGGCAATGGCTCAATAAGAAGTTCAATAATCGAACACCTTGTGAACACAGGTCACTTAATCAAGACAGACTCTGCGTTAAAAGTCATCTACAAAGTAAGTAGGAGTCTTTCAAAGACAGACTGCATCTTCTTTGCATCGCGGAAACATTAGCCATACATCTTGAAAAATCAGGATTGTGTGTATGACACACTGGTACAACCTATTCTTCTACTATGGTCTTAATGTCTTATTTTTTTCTCTTTTTCACACTCTTCCTTTACAGCCGTCTGCTTCACCTTCCATCCTCTACCCCCAACTGGATCATTTTGTTTTCACGATCATTCTGATTACATTTAGTCTCAATTTCAACATTTTATCTTATCATGCTGAGCCATTCTTTCCCAATCATAATTTCCCTATCTTTTGATGAATACCTAAGCCACTAACAATCAAACGATTATTAAATTTTCCTTGTTTTAAAAATTTTTAATATCTTTGTTTATTTAACCTCGCTGTCACCATGTCTAACAAGTTTGTTATCAGGATTATTATCATCCTGTAAAAATAAGTATATATATTTGCGATTGTACAGCTTTGAAAATGAATCCGCCGAAAAGAGAACTCTTCGCTGAACTAATCTTATTTAAACTTGTATAATCTCTTCAGTATTCAGTATAATATACTTTGTGTATTTGTTTAATCAATATACTTTTCTTCTGCGTAGGCCTTACTATGTTATTAGAAAATAAGGATAAGTTCTCGCAACGTCCTAAAGGGATTTTCAAATTTTCTGTTACTTCACATCTTTGCAGAGACAGTTACTGATAGAGACTCATGTTTTTCCTCGATTAATCTATTGCTTTATGTTGTTCATGTGTATATGTATTTCAACCAATCAGGTTTACGTTGATACTGTTGGCAAAGCTGAACATTATCAAACTAAACTACAAAATCTTTTTCCTCAATTAAAAATACGTGTTGAAAGCAAAGCTGATGATATTTATCCAATTGTGAGTGCTGCTAGTATCTTCGCAAAAGTAAGTCTATTGATTTTTTCCGAATAACAAAATTTTCATTGTTCTGTGTGTGCTTGTGTATGAACGGATTCATTTCAACTTTGGTTTCCTATGAATTATTTTTCAACCCTATCCATTACATAAAAACTTTGTAATATTAGTAGTTTGCGTATAAATGTGTCATTCTGTAATTAAATTAAAAGTCAAGTTATTTTGCCCAATTATGATAATTAAAAGTATTCGAATTATTGTACGAACTGGGAATTCTCGAAACTGTGTAATTTAAACCAAGTGTGGTGCATATATATTTGGCTCACTCTTGTACCAATATTTATGTGTCCAAATAAATAACTAAGTAAATAAAAATTCAAACCAAACAGAATTAGAGGAGTACAAACAAACGTATTGTCTTTGGAATTCGAAATTAGCCGAGTGATCAAGTACAAAAGAATCATCAGTTCGTACAAATACCACACCTATCTATACAACTCTGACTTAAATCTGACTCGCAAGTTCTATTATTTGACACTTATTACACTCCGACACTGTACCAGGCTACAAATATTCAATAATTTATCTGCTCATTTCATTTTATTAATGCTTGAATGAATCAACAAGTGAACAACAATCAATCCTTCCATTAAAATTCGAGACCTCAAAATGTTCATGTCATATCTTAACATCACTTACAGATATTGAATATCTGCTCACCCAAGTTCGTTACATACTAGGAACTTATAACCGGAGACGAAATCTTGTGACCAAACATGGTGAACACGTATATGATAATAAACACCTGTTTCTATAGTGTTGCCCTATGCTTAAATATGACTGTACCTCTGTATGTTGTAAATCTGACTTTCATCTACTACTGCTCGAATTACTTATTTATTTGGCTTAGAATAAATTGATACTCGTTATTTAGACATTATGTGAATAATTATAACGCGGAAATAAAAAGGCGCTTTTCCTCAGTCTAGATAATTTTTCAATGACTTCAGGTTACTCGGGATCGAGTTCTTCAAATGTGGCCTAAAGAAGAACGTGGGAGTGTACCCGAAGGCACTGGTCTTGGTTCTGGCTATCCAGGTGGTAAGTTTTCATCTTTTATGTTATATATTAAAGATCGGATTTGTTATATTTAAATTTTACTCCCTATCAAGTAAGAATACATTTAGTCAATTATAATTGTTTCAATTGATTGTTATATTTGTTGCAATGGACGTATGTTATCGTCTTATGATCTTCATTTCTTGTTCGTTCATTAACTGAAAAGAAATAACTTATCAAGACTTAATATTTCGACTTATTAAACTATACCTTGAGGTCCATTTTATATAGCCGCTTTCGGTTTAGCTGAACTATGATTGCTTGATTTCTAAATCTTTTCACTTAAAATTTAAACATTGGTCGCGCCAGTAAACTGTATGTTCGATTATCGGACTTTTTTGTTAAGTCACTTAAGTCGCCATAACATGGCTAGTGAACTGTTGGATAACTCGGATCTTGTTCGACATGGTTTAGAAGTAACCTCAATATTGACATGCAGTTGTGTTTTCTCTAAATTTTAAGCTTATTTATTATTTCGGGTCAACAATTAATCGACAGTAGTTCAGTTTCCTTACTACCATAAACTTTAAAAAGATTATTGGTTTTAAAGTAATGCAATTAAGTATCCCATGTGAAGCTAGGTGAACTTATTTTTGTCGGCAATATTCACAAGTTTTCTAATTGTTTGTGGATCACCTATTATTGCAACTTCATTTAATGGATCCCGTGAAACCCATTTATCTTTGATTGTAATGTTGAAATTTATGAAAGTTGTTTAGTCAAAACCATTACTTAAGTCGGTGTGGATGTACAGTGTTCACACAAGAAATAGGAAATTGATCGATCAATTAATTATAATACCTCAACTAATTAGGAGATTAAGATGTGATACTCAGTCCGTTAGTCAAATGCAACATGAAACCTGGTATTTATGTGCATCGCTTCAAGCTGCTACACCCCATTAAAACAGCTAGGTGAAATTGTCAGGGAAAATCCCAGAGTGGATACCTCGCCTTCGCCATAGGTGACGTAATTTGGCAGAAACCAAACGGGCTTTCTGAATCCGTGCAGAGATTTCGTCAGACACCAACCCATTAGGGCTGGTCAGACTTTCAAGATAAGTGAAGTTGTCGACGCGTTCGACTATTTCACTCTCTATCCTTAGTTCAGGTATTGATGCAAGCCAGTCCTGAAGCAACAACTTGCATTTAGAGGGAGAGAAACGCATCCAATCCACTGAGCCTCCAACTTTAAATCCAAAAGCAATAACTTTGGCTATCTATCGGTTAAATTCTCTCTTCCATTCCTTTCGTGGTTAAAAACTCTATCCTTTATTTCCCGGTTCCATTTTTCCTACACATTAATGGTAACTGACAGTTACTGGAACCAATAGCTTTATGAACACCTTCCTTTATGCTAAATACGGTAAGTTTATAGTTCATCTACTAACCAAGAGTCTAAACTTTTTCCAAACTATTTTATGGGACGACTATTAAAAGTACTTCGCCATGATATATCATTATTGGGAAATGGGGACGTACACATACGGAACAAGAGGAACGAAAAAGGCCTTCTTTGGTACCACCTACAATCTTAGTTCAAAGTATTTGTATTTTGATTTAATAGGTTTGTTGCTATTGTTCTAAAATTCATGTGACCTTTTTTCAAAATTTTTATGAAGATCCCGTCACCAAAAGTTATTTACGTGCATGTATGGATCCAATTTTTGGTTTCCCGTCTCTTGTGCGATCTAGTTGGTCAACTGCATCTTCTCTATTAGACCAACATGGTGTATCAGTTAGGTGGTAAGTTTCTCTCTATACTATCTAAGTGTATGTGCCTTCATCTTCCAAATAAAATAATTTCAGAGGTTTTAAACACTCTAGAAAGCAGTAAATATCACATTATCTGTGGTAAATTGCTGACTAGAAGTTGACTTCATCGAAGTTAACCCCAGCTAAGACATATGTCCACTTGTAATATTTTGAGACAGTAATATCCAATATATTTTGGCTTAAAATTTAAAATTAATTCACTGGCTGGACCATAATTTATGGACAAACCAATTAGATTAAGGTGGCTACTTGTGTATCTGTGCACGAAATACATTCATCCGTGTGGCTAAATAACATTTTGACATTATCGTTGGTGTCAGTTCGTAATGACGACTTTAACTTCAGTACCGAACTCTAGCTTACAACTCTAACTCATAATCCTAATTCCTCGCACCAATTTTTAACGCTATTTTGATTTTTTCCTCAACTGAGAGTTTCTTCATTCATCATATCGTCATCATTAATTGCTATATACATAAATTTGTTTGCTTATTTTGAAACAAAAATCGTTGTACATAATGTCACTCTGCTAACTCCAAGACCTGATAAATGATGTAAAAGTATAAAATGACTGATTTCCAAAGTTTATCTCTTTTTAAAGTGTTGACTATACATAATTCCGTTAGATATATGGAATATTAGAAATGTGTAACACCTAGTTTCAAATCCAATCTTAATTCTTCATCTTTAAACACTAGTGCTGTAATTGGTACATATTTATCTTTCATAGAATAAAATGTTATTGTAAATCAATTACATTTTATACGATGATAATTTTATAAACCAAAAATAAATGTAATCATCTCGTAGGTTAGTCTACTTTTTTGATGATTCAATTCTCTGTCATTCATGATCAAAATGTTCGCCAGCCCAAGTTGCCATATGATATCGTTACGGTGGGATAAAACTACCTAGGTGAATAGAGTAAGATTTGAAATTGTCATGACATAGTGAGAAAGACTAAATATTGGTGAGTATGATTTTTAAAAAATAGGGATAAATTTATTGACTAAACATTGTAACTCAGGACTCAGCAAAGAAACATTAACTCCGAGGCGTGTTACCCAACATCTCTAGTCACTGGTCCTTGTTTTTGGGCGTATAGTTCGCAATAAAATTCCATGAGAAAATTAAGTATTTGAAAAACAACCATTAAAAACTAAGGGCTCTTGAACATACCTTCTATCCCGTTTTTCAAACTATTCACCACCTGAGACTTTCGGGCTACACGAGAATAGTATTTGTTTCAATTAGCGAAATCGGAATACATGTAAATAAAAAGGCTCAATAGATTTCTACGATAAAAATATTAGTATGACTGTTCGTCTAAGTGTTTCAACGTATTTCTAAAGTAACAGGCTTTGTAGAAATGAAATTTTACTGATTTTCTCGTTGTTATTTTTTAAAAATTTAAAATGTTTATTTTCCGATCTTTCTTTAAAAAATAACAATAGGGAAGATGATGAAACACACGAAGAAGTAATTCAAGCTAAAAAACTTGCACGAAAACGCGAACATTCAAAAGGTACTTGTAAATTATCTAATTATTTCAATAATGCTCAGTCGAGATCGTCCACACCTGATGCGCTACAGAGACAACCATTTTTTGTACGAACTGGTCTTGTGCATGTTCAGACTATCACATAAATTTTATGAGATATATTATGTATAATTTTCTTTGTATCGATGTTTCATCATATTTCTCTAATAAAATCGATCTCTGATAACCAGTTACATTTCTTCTGTGCGATTTATGTCACTGATCTGAAAAAAGAGGTAAAATATCAAATATTAAATATGACATGAGAATGTTTACTGTTCACCAGATAATCTCATAATTCCCCCGCAGTTGTAATCTAAATGTAACGTCAAGCCTATGCTTTTTTGTTGTGATGGAGATTTTTTTTTACTGTGATAGTGAGTTTTTCTTAAACTAAGGTAAGCAGGTGTTTATAAGATGGGCAAACACAAATTCGACTTTACTTCACTTCAAGGAGATTGTACCTAGTAGAACATTTAGTCAAAAAACTATGCCAAACTAACTCAATCGGTTTTGTTTCATTCAAAAGAATCATTTATTGTAATGTTAAGGATTTCACTAAATAGAACGTGGGGATTATGTTTACATTGATACATGATCTAACACGTGAATAATGTTTATTAGTAAGATCGATATTACTACACCTTCATGTTATTCGTCCTATTTCTTACAAACGCTGACGTGGACCTGTTCAGCATGAACAAAATACAACTGAGATATTGCACTGTTGTCTTTCTATAGCTATGGTCAGGCCGTCTGAACAAACCGTCTCTTCAGCTTATAAGTATATCCACGTGATCATTTTATGGATAGAATAGTATTTCATTTGTCATGCTTACGCAAAGTTTAATACAAATGAGGATCGTCAGAAGATTCATTTAATAGAGTCAACCATGCTACAGAAGATGAAGTGGAGCTATCAGATGAAATATTGTTAAGAAATAGCTACTCATTAAAATTCATAGACTAATGAAGTGACCATGATATGTTGAGGCTTATTAGTTATTTATAACGAAGCATTAATATTCACATCTTAGCATTCAGAGCAGGGTGTGATTGCCGTGTAATAAAATGCAGATGAAGTCAGTTGTCATCAGAGCATTTTATGTAACCAAAGTCATCAAATTGATAGGTTTTGTGACATCGCTTTGTTGGAAGTCAGTACTACAGTTGACCAGTTTCTACTACCATTGCCTCGATAAAGTTTAGTCACAAGTTTTTTCTAGGTGTTTTGCAGTTAAATCAAGCATACATATTTTATCTTATTTAGTAATTGTCAGCTGGATGTGCCTGCATTTCAGGACTCACATATAACAACAGAGACCGGTCATTTGCGGTTCTGGATATCAGCAACAAGAAATCACAAGCCTTATTGATTCATCCATACATATAGAAAAAGTTAGTGGTTTTCTGAACCAAGTGGATACCACATTGGCATTTGAAATGAAAAATATTGATTTCGAATTTGGTTGTTAAACTCACCATTGGCAGGCAGGTACATTCATCCAAATAGGACGAAACACACTTTCTGGATTTCACTGCCACCCATACATTACGTAGACTCCAAACAACAGTAATCAATAGTTAAATAAAGTTCATGCTTGACAAAGAACCAAAAAGTCTTGTAAACTATTTTGTAACATCCTGAGTGACATAAATATCCAGTAGTAATTATGATACATAAACAAAGGCGGTCTAACATTTATATGATTGGCCTCATAAAAGTAGACGTTTAATATCAATGCTTTTCTAATACTAAACATGATTTTTGAAAAGGCAGTATTTGTCTACTAAACGTATGCTTTACCGAGTCTTACAAAACGTGAACTCCTGATTACTCCTGTATGATTATAAACTGTCGAGTAGTAACTTGGGTTTTCGCAATGAATGCATAGTTTGAAGTAGAATATTCATGTGTTTAGCACAAGAAAATCTTCGCATATACTGGAGGGACGTCTTACCGTAAAATAAATCGCTATTCCATGAAAAGACTTGATAGACAGAAACGTTTCCTCAAGTTGTTGACATGACAAACTTTAAATAAGTTTATTGACACACAATCAATGTTTTTACTGGATCTGTTATGATAAACTTCTGTATTTTTCATAGAAATAGCTAAACTAGAAAAATATATACATAATTCCTAAAAATATAACTGTCATGATTGGTTCTAAAGTGTATATATTACACCAATGTATCATTATAAAACGAGACAATGGCTTTATTGGGATATGTAGGTTTACTCTATGGGCTTTTATAAATACATAGATCGACTTATTCATCATTGTTATATATTAAATAGAGCAAGAACAAAGATTGGTGCAGAATAATATGAATTCATTATATTTCGTTAGGTTCTCATCAGCTGCTTACAACCGAAATTATTTGAAATTCAAAATTATTATAGATATTGACATATTTATACATAAGAGGGTGATTAAGGATCAATACATGTGTATGATGATGTAGCAAGCAAAGATTCAGATAGAGTTAATGAGCTCATAAAATGTTTGATTCGAATAAATAAATAAAGTTAGAAAGGGAAAGTTCCAGAACATTGAAATAGTGATTAGAACTCATGAAAATAGATTAATGGTAATAAAGAAAATATGAATTGAAATCAATCAGTTATGTATGATGTAATTTATATTTCAGAAAGAGTTGCAATAATGACGTAATAAATAAATAAATAGGAGCAAATTAATAGAAAGAGTGAGGGTTATTGTTACCAGGGTAAAGAAAGATTTATTACCGTCTCTTTTTGTATGCATAGATCTGGTTTTAAACGTTTGATTGCTAACGCTTCAGCGAATTTCAAAAGGTTCGAGTTTGATTGTTTGTTAATCACCTTGAAGGACTTCAGTATATCAGCTTTATGTCCTGTATCAAGGAGATGTCTTGCGATAGCACTGTTGAATGAGTTCAATCCATTCAATCTTAAACTTTTCGGAATATGTTCTTTGAATCGGACGTAGGCTCTCCTTTCTGTTCTACCAATGTAACTGCTTTGGCAGGTACATGTAAATTTGTATACACAGTTGGTGGTAACATGAAAGGGATACCTGTCGACCTTTGATTGTGTCAAAGAACATGTTGTTTTGGACAGGACAATCAATTTCGCTGCAGGATAGGTTCTTGTCAGTGCAGTTTTTAGTCTCATATTGATTGATCCTGTGACATCGTCACCTTTGTAAGCAGCTGATGAGAACCTAACGAAATATAATGAATTCATATTATTCTGCACCAATCTCTGTTCTTGCTCTATTGTTATATATGTTGAAAACCATGTTGTCACAATCCTACTCAACTACTGTTGTCATCCTTCACTTGAAGTTCTTTTCTACTGAATTTTTTACATCAGAATTCAAGGACCAGAATAGATAAAAACTCGTATCGATCGCGTTTTTTGTCCTATTTATGGTCCAACTTACTAAAACTTCATTAGAAGCAAATTTTAGTCCTATGCTTTTTAAATTTAAATTCGTCGCATAAATTGATGGACAAAAAAACCTTATTTGGATAATTTTACGTAGAGATCTTTATCTATTTAAATTAAATAATTTAACTACTAATATTATCAGTTAACAAACATAGTGGAGCGATTGAACTGTATCCGCCTAACTTAGTTCTGGTCAATCCAGTTCACCAACATAACTATTTAATTGAGAAAATAGTGTTTAACAAAAAAAGATCAATGTTATACGAATACGTTAACAAGCTATATTTTTGGCATAATAACGTTTAAATCCCCCCCCAAAAAAAATAAACCAAACAAATATGAATCTGTTAACTAGTCAAAAAGTACTTTAAAGTATATTCAATCTTCAGTTCTCTGATCTATCCGATGGTCTTGGTGACATCTTTTTACAAGATACTGTACAGATTGAACGTTGAAATCCATATCTAAAATTTCGCAAAAATATCAAGTACAGGAAGAAATTGACTGCATAAGTAATATCTTTAACAGATGAGAAAAGTCTGGACAAATCAATAATACACATTGCGTACGGTTTATGCCTATCCACATGTGATAAAGTTAGACTTAGTCGTATTAATACAAAACATACCATCGGTAGGTACAATAATAAGAATGCAGTACTCAAAGCTAAATGTCCAAAAACTCGTCCCATTTCCATACGATTCCGCGAAGAGTCAGCCGGTAATAAAGCTGTTCGATTAACTTTCAATTTCCATAATTCAATACAAATGAAAACATTTAAAAATAATACAAGACAAAATGGTATTGTGAACGTGACGATTGTTTCAAATGTTATAGTAAATTTTGCTACTGGATGTTCAGAAATCATTCTACAAGTAAAATTTGTTCGACTCGATGTATCAACCATTAAAGTTTGTACAAATAACAATGGTGAATTACTAAGTATTCCCATTGAATATACAAGAATACATGCAATCAAAGCCCAATGTTTATGATATATTGAATAGAATTTAATCGGTTTATGAATAGTTAATAGACGATCAATTGAAAAAATCACAATTAAATAAGATGATGTAAAGTACATAGTATTCGATATATATTCAACACTTTTACACCAAAATGTTGAAATTGTATCTAATTTAAAATAGAATTGATGATTTGTTGCATAATATAGACCACGTCCAAGAAAATCATCAATAAATGTATTCATAATTAATGTAATAATATTAGCAATAGCTAAAAAGATTGAATAAATTGAAAATCTTGATAATTGTTTTTCTTTTAAAAAAATGATTACAATAAAACTATTCCCTATGACACCGATAATTGCAATTATTGGACATATATATGCACGAAAACTACCAACCAAATTACTATAATCTGTAATTGTAGTATTATTTGACATTTCTTTTGTTATTAATTATTATAGTTCCTTTTTTATAAATGAAATATAATTGAAATTATAAAAATAACATGATTGCGTTTGTTTTGTTTACTGGCATGTGCATAATGATGATGATGCTCAAAAGTTCTTCCAAACGATATGGATATTATAGATGCATATATATATATATATATATATGTGCTCCAAAAATCAATAAAATTTCCTTCCTTCCAATCAAATAAATTCCACTTATTTTTTTTTAATATTTAATCATAATAAATAGTTCATATTATCTATTCAAATAAATCGATAATTCATTAAATTAGTTTATTGTATGTAAATTTTAGTTTATAATACCCAAAAAAATTTTTTTTCAAACTGAACAAATTTTATCCTTTATTGATCAATATTATATACAATCGATCAATATATTTCTCTTTGAGAATATAAATGAATAATACTCATTGATTGAATTGAATTTTCGAATGGATAAAATAGTACAGTATAGTAATAATAATAATATAATAATAATAATAATAATAATAATAATAATAATAATAATAATAAAGGTTTATAGAATCAGATAAATGAATTTCACATTTAGTCTTGATAACTGCTCATCAATTTTTTTCTAAAAGAGTATTATGATTAAAAATAACAATGTAATAGTATATGGGGTTGTGAAGATTGTTGAGTTTTTTAATTGGGACCATGAATGAATCAATGTTAAACCATCATTGTAAACCTGAATGTATTTTAATGGCCCGGGATCTGACTTCAAGTAAATCGTATGATTGATTGTTATTGAAATATATATATATATATATATATATATATATATATATATATATATACTTATTTATTTTAACACAGATATTGGTACAATGAGGCACCAAATACATATGCGCCACACAAATATCATTCGATATGTGTGAGAGCTGTGATACTGCACGGGTGCACAAACCGAAGCAGGTGGTTTTGTTAGGGGGCCACTCCACAGCCTTCGACCTGAAGGTCTAATCCACAAGGCAGTGGGGCAACGTCAGAAGATGCATTCCCATGGTAGCCTGTGACCAACGTTAGGTTCATACACCTTTTGTTCCTTTAGGATACTGCAGCCCATGTGCACCATTGATTTCGAATCCGGTTAAAGCGCCGGACATTCGCTCTTCGTTCTCTCATTTCCGTAAACAACAGTAGTGCCACGAGAAGACAGTGAGTAGGACTTCCCTGGCAGAGGCTGTATACGCGTGGCCGTGTGAGAGCATTTGGAGAGGGTGAGCGGACTCTCCCCACTTTCGGCCGTACCAGGGCATTTGGGGTCGATATATATATATATATATATATATATATATATATATATATATATATATATATATCGCCTATCCTAGTACGTAATCATCGACTAAATCGCATTAGTCAATAACGGAATTAAATAAGTCAAATAACGAGAACGAATTTCGAATACGTATATTTCATACAATCTTTGATCCAGACAAATATCGGAGAAGTAAAGCGAAATGACGCGCGGTGGAGAAGGCATGGGAGCTAACTTTCTTTTGTCAAGTGTTAATCAGTATTTATAGTCACACAAAATTAAGCTACAGACATGTGCTGAATAAGATAGGAAGGGCACATACATAATGCGCTCATATAAAAATAGTCAAGATTGATTAGCGAATAATTAACAAGGTCAAAATGTGACTCAAGTAGAATGAATAGATTGGCCTGTCCGAAAGCTAGAATAAGGTATACGGGTTTAACATAATAACCGACAATATAGTCTGTTTCGTCTTAGTATGGGACTTTTCAGTGATAGTGCTCATCCACGATCCAGCACCCGACGCTTTAACCCATATTTTTCGGTCTCGAGAGTGAATGTGTGAACGAAACAACTGTCCAGTGCTTCCAGATTTTCAATAGTGGTCTAAGATTGATCCATTCATGATAACAATTTAAATTTGATATAAGTTAATTGATGAAGTTTAGATAAGAGTAGTTCAAAATAGAAAAACATAAGAACTGGAATAGGATATAACGTATGTTATTAAAAAATTGGCAGTTAAAATTAATAAGTACTTTTACAAATAAACATGTAAGATTTAGTATTGTATCCGAAGAAGTTTAAAGTATGGGTAACGTCTGGGAACTATTTATAGACTGTTATTATATATACATTCTTATTGTATATTTATTAAGTAACTAATATTATATGTATATTCATATTCCTCTTATTATAAGCTTCCATTTGACCTATTGACTACTATTATACGATTAACTATTTTTAAGTTATTCCCAATTTACTAATTACAGTCTTTCACAATCTTAGCCACTTTTGGTCTGATCTTGTATAATTGTTATTTTCTATTTTATGGTATGATGTGGTCTGATTTGTTCGTATATAAACCAAGTATACCTGAAATACGTGATTCATGTAACAGAGGCTGGTAATGGTGTTCTGGACTAAACCGGATGAGTTAGGTGAGAAGCTGCTATCTTAGTGAACCAGTAAAAACTCAGAGTTGATTCAAGGCTGCTTGTACTGGTTAACGCGTCACTGATTTGGCACAGATCCAAAGTTATATAAGTCGATGTTATAATTAGCGATTTAGTCACGTGATATATTTGCAGGTCCATGGGACATAACACTCAGGATTTTCAGAGCATACATAGAGCTTTGCTTCAGAACAGATAAGCTGGGATTTAGTAGTCCATATTCCCAACTTTGGTTAATTTTTTATACAATCCGATTATAACCTACTGCGATTTTACCACTTCGTATATGATTGAACTCCATTGGTCACCGTTTGACAGTATGATCACTTGAATTCGTCTCCAAGCTAATCAATAGTGAACACGTTTACTTGGCAAGCGAAGAGTTGTACATTGCTAAAACTTTTGTTGTATACAGAGATTCGCATACTAAACGTACAAAAGAAACATAATCAACTCGCTCCCCGTTATTGTTTTAATCACTACTAATAAAAAAATCATGAACACCATTTTCTTTAAATTCACTTGGTATTGTTTTGCTTGTTTCTTCACATTGAGGTTTAAGAATGTGATTGATCGGTCTGTTATTGGCAAATGTGCATAGTGTGTTTATGCCTCGATATTGCTTCAATTCACAAGCTTTTATAAGCAAAGATGGATAGTGGCTAGCAGTGGAATCCAGGACGCGTGTTCCGCCCTATTTAGGACTCGTCAGCTGGATGTACCTGAATCTCAGAGATGTTGTTCACTTTGGGACTCTCACCCAGACAATGTTGAGGCATAATCACAGGATGCACATATACCAATAACATACTGATCAATTGCAGTCTTAAACCTTATTGGGAAGATACAAGCAAAAAAATACCAAATGAATTTAAATTCACCCCATCCACAAGCGAGTGGCTATCAGGACTCACTAGCTGAATGGATAACGCGATGGCATTAGGAGCGAATGGTACTGAGTTTGAGTCCCAGGGCAAACATCAACTCTGAGATGCAGGTACGTCCAGCTGACGAGCCCCAAATAGGACGAAATGCGCGTCCTGGATCCCACTGCTAGCCACTACCTATCTTTGCTTATAAAAACTAGTTTCTTTATGTCATTATTTTATTCTGCTATCCGACTTACTCCTATTTTCGTACAGTACGTGGTGATATTCATATTTCAAATTTATCTTCTTGTCATATAACCTATTTTTGCAGGAAATTAACAGCTCAATTAGTGTTAAACACTTCAACTTAATCTCACTATTTTTGATGAAGTTAACTAAGTGCAGTTAAGTAGTCAAGCGTCTACTTCACGCTCAGTAACTTACCATGTACATGTCTTGCTTCTTCAAACATTTTGACAGTCACTTCAGTAATCTAGCTCTCATATACTTTATCCTTAAAAATGGTTAATATAGACTTATCTTGTAAATAGTTCTTGTTATTATTCACAATTCATAATTTCATTTAATTTGTGCAATGAGTGATGCTGACAATTAATTATTGTTTAAATTTGACCTTTAACTTTTTCAGTTCACAACATGAGGTCGTAGGATAATATATAAAATAGATCATATACCATATAGCTTCCTATACGCGGATGGTTTTGAACCACCTTAAAAGACTCTCTACTACGTAAGGCCAGTTGAACCATGAACTAACAGCTATAAAACGTAGACCTGCGCTGTTACACTTAATTTGAGAACCATACGGTTTAATAATGGTACCAATTCCTTGGATTTTCTCTTTACAATCAACGTTCACTTAGGGGAAAGAAATGCGTATTAACGCCGCCCAATAGGGATCTTTTTACTTTGTATGTAGACGCAGTAAGTACATGTTATCTTAACTTCTCATAATTATGCTTTTCTTACACGTTGAAAAGCTTTTAAAGCATTTTCGAATTTATCCTATGTCAAGAACCTTTGAGATAGGGTTGTCTGGCGAAAAGTATCGGTTAAGTCTTTCGAAATACTCTCAGAAATGCCTGACGCAGTGTTACTATTGAATAAGTGGAGATTAAATCAGGGAAGTTACAAAAAGATGAATTATACGAACTCAGTTAATGCTAGCCATAGGTCGGTAATTAAACATTTCAAAACAAAAACGCACGATGCACGTGGTTGTTTGTCATTTGGTGTTTCTTAAATTATGCAGGACTCTTAAAGGGGCACATACTACCAAATTAAGCTAGCTAACAAACACATCCCCGACCTGATGCACTTCAAATATGTAATGACCGCCTTGAGGTAAAGCGTTCACTGTCACTGAAACGAAAAGTGGGTTATTTCATTTATGAACAAACTTTTATTCTGTATCTTATTGTTCTCAAAATACACCGTTGCTCACATCATTTTTTGTTCTTATTCAGTCAGCTTCCATATGAACAGATCACTAATATGATTGTCATCCATGTCTACAGATTACACATTTTTCATTACTGGATTATATGTGGTATAAACATTGAATTAAATGCTATATTTTGGGATTACTAATTATGTGCTTTGATTATGGATCAAGTGAACACATCCCCTAGTTAACAAGTAATGTCCGGATTATAACCATGTATTTATTTTTATATATCAATAACTGGTTTTACACAATATTCTTCAATAAGTTTGCTACTATATTTTGGTATTTGTATTTTTGATCCTCTATATACACTATTTTCTCGTGATCAGTTTACAACTTCTTCGTTCATGATAGTTAATGGTGTACACGACACATCGTTGTGCAAGATATTAGAGTTGTTAGATTATATCAGTTTCATTCAATCTTGAGAATATTTGTTAAGTGATTAGTTTTCTGATATGATACTGTTTTGTGTGACAGAAAGCAAACAATTTAAATGATTCAGGATATATTGTCAAAACTACCAGCTCACTAATAAAGAATTTGTGGGTCATAGATAAAAATAGAAAAAAATATTAACACTCGCTTTCATATCATCCATTACTCCATGTTGGTCAAAAAGCGATCGGTTTGATTTGATCAAATGATAATTCTACCAACTAATCATAATTTATTATCAGAAGGGGGATTTGTGGAGATTTTAGTAATTTTAATAGTTGAATTCATGAGTCAATTGAAGCTAGACCATCATGGACGGCCGTCTAGTGCTTCTAGGTTGGTCTAGCTTCAATTGACTTATGAACTCAACTATTATAATCATAATTTAGTTGGTCTGATTATAGCATTTTCTCGAATAATTCGATGCAAATTAAACGTAAAGGAGACATTTCAAATAATTGTATTGACTCTAAAATTTGTTATTTCTATCAGTGACAAGTGTAATTCAGTTGACGAAAAAAACAAATGAACACTTGATCGTAAAGATGACTTTTTTCATATTCAACATCATATTATTTGACGATAAACTAAATTGAACATCTAAATACTTTTAAATAACCTAATAAAACACCATTTGTTCGAACACGTGAAACACGAATACCATTACCATAAATCATGCATATGAATTTAAACTTTTTTAGTTTATATTCCTCATCAAATAAATTAAAAATCTATAAAATTAAAAGGAAGATAACATTTTCGTTAGGTATTTTACGAAGACTAATTTAATGTTCGCGGTAGTTTTGGGAGTGAACTGTCATTGTAGTGAAGGAAAACTCAGATTGCAGAAAACCAGTTTCATATAACATACCCAATTACACAGTGGCTTATTGAAATATGAAAATCATATATTAAATACATCATTTGAAAAATCTCTTTGTTTTGTGCTTTACATACTCCATTATTTCCCTAATTCTGTTGTTATTTTGATTGCTCTCCGATTTGCTTTATGTTCATTTTATTTAAATCTTCTGCAAACAAGCATTCCGCTTCTGATTGCTGCTACATACTACGTATATCAGTCAGCATAAATAACATGCACCACAATACTAGTTAGGAAATCAGCGAAGAAAACTTTTTTTTCGACGAAATCGTTTACTTAAGCTCTACATTCGTATATATAGTTATATGGAAAATGTCTATAGGAGGATAGAAAAAATCGCATCACAAAAATGGATTCGAGGATAAATAAAATGAGGTTACGTACTGATCAAGGGGTAAGGAAGAAAATCGTTTAGTATGTAACCTCATTTGTTATTTATCTTCGAATCCATTTTTGTGATGCAATTTTTCCTATCCTCCTATAGACATATATTTCCCATACAACTATATACACGAATGTACAGCTTAAGTAAATGATTTCGTCAAAAAGAAAATTATCTTCGCTGAATTCTCTTTTTCTTATTCAATAACACTGGATTATTTTAACTATTAGTTAGGAAATCCTCAAGTGATCAAGATACTTCCAACTTTTTCATCCTAGTATGGAACTCCTGACTAATGTCTAACCAGGACATCAACATAGGATAGACCACATGGTCTCCCAGTCTAGTGACGTTCAGGATATCCTTGAATTGCTGAATGAGACTTTAATTAACTATGGTTTTAGCTGCAATTCTTCTATAGTATACAGCAACTTTTGGATTCCTAGCTACAGGCTTTGAAAGATCGTGGTCTCTAAGAGACCTGGAGGTCATTGGTTTTTTTCTAATGGAGTCGAGGCTGATACCTATTGAAACGACAGTTACTTAGTGTCTACTAACTTTCACTAGTTCTGAAAATGATGCTTTTCAGTGATAAGATATCTCCCAAAACTTCATAATTCATAATCAGCTACTTCTAAGTGACTGCTTCGTTTCATGAAACACAAACGTAAACAGAAGTTGCTAAATCACATGTCGTTTAGTCAGATACGTGAGAATTCATTATGAATAACACTTTAACTCTCTGCAAACTTGTCAAGATCACATCTTTTTAATCATTACAATTGCTAAATGTTTGCGAACAAAAATATAAAATATGAATCATCAGGTATAGGATCAATAGAAGTATAGTTTTTTTAAACACTAAGTTGTTTGCACGTTTAAACAACAATCTGTAACTATACGAAAGTGAACTAAATAACTATTTTTTTAATTTTTAAGTAGTAATATATACGCAGAATGTTGAACTAATCCACAATATTTCTAATGTTCACTAGGTAAGCCGTATAAAACACTTTTGTTCATTTTTTTATTCCTTAGGTAAATGCTGTTTATTAGAGAGTAATTTTAACTTAGTTTACGACCGTGCTGAATGGTTATACGTGTCAAGTACTAAACAGTAAATAAAACAATGCCAACCTAACCTCATATTGTTTTTCCAGATAATGTTCGTAATCAAACATAACTTCAAAATATAATACACACCCTTATGTCAATAAAGATGCCCCCAAATGCCCTGGTACGGCCGAGAGTGGGATGAGTCCGCTCTCCCTCTCGAAATGCTCCAACACGGCCACGCGTACATAGCCTCTGCCAGGGAAGTCCTACTCATTGTTTTCTCGTGGCGGGGGTGTTGTTTGCGAAATTGAGAGGATGAAAAGCGAATGTCCGGCGCTTTAACCGGGTTGGTGGATACGGAGGGTTCACCTAGGGGAGTTGGAAAACCCTGATTTCAAACCAATGGTGCACATAGGCTCCAGTATCCTGAGGGAACAAAAGGTGTATGAACCTAACGTTGGTCACAGGCTACCATGGGAATGCATCTTCTGACGTTGCCCCACTGCCTTGTGATTAGACCTTCAGGTCGAAGGCTGGGGAGTGGCCCCCTAACAAAACCACCTGCTTCGGTTTGGGCACCCGTGCAGTATCACAGCCCTCACACAAATCAAATGAGATTTGTGTGGTGCATATGTATTTGGTGCCTCATTGTACCAATATCTGTGTTAAAATAAATAAATAAATAGTAAAGATAAACAGTTGTTAGTTCCTACTGTATTGAAAACATTCTTTGAATACAACTTTGTTATCGAGATAGTTTACCATTTAAAGTGTAGCGCAGAAACACATTCTGATACTTTAAAATTTGTACAGAAAATTTCCCTACTGTATTCAAACAATTTAGTATTGAATAGAACAACTCAATAAGATAAAGATAAGCAGTACTAATGATAATTATCAATAGAATGACATTGAACGATTTGAATTTGCTTCTTTTTTTTCTTTCTTGTAAAAACAAACAACCTATAACATCTTGAAAGGTAACGAATATTAAAACCAGTTTTGTTTTTGGTTTAGTTGATAAAAAAAAGAACAAACATAAAATCTGTACTGTTTTTCTCATGGATAAATAAATAAATAAATAAATAAATCACTAAACATTTTAAAAAATGGAGGATTCTATGAAAGAAATAAAGAGAATCTGAAACGTTTCAATAAAACAAATTATCAGAATTTTCACATAAATTAAAATTATGTACACAGAAGACAAATTGTAGACACAATTTATAAATTCAAATATAAAGATTAAACAGAATGAATCATTTGAATTAGGATGAGTGTAGGAAGAATAAAACCAGAGCTCAATAGTACTTGTTGTTGTATTGTTTATCACCAGGATATAGAGAAAGTTGAGTATAAAAATAAAAGTGAAATATTATTATTAATTTCTTCTTTTGTATCAGTCACAGAACAACAACTACTACTGTTCCTACTACTATTAATAGCGGTTAGATTAGTAGTAATAGGCTTGTATATTGTCTCTACTCATGGTGGACTGACACTATTTTGTTCAAATGGTTGTTTCATGTTCTTGTTGTTTTTGTTGTCGTAGTCCAGATGTTTTATTGTCACTATCATTATTTTTCTCGTCATCATTATCCACATCTTCCTCATCACTATTTCCTAAATCTTCTTCTGATGTTAAATGATAATATTCTCGTGTGGATGAAGAATGTAATCGATCGCTTGGATTATATTCAGATGAAGTTTCCATAATTTCACTACTAGTTATTGAATCAATCAGGCCTTTGTGTTGAAGAGATGAAAAATAAATGAAAGAATTATTGTTTCTTTTTTGAAAAAAAACATTGATTACAATTAAATTCACTCGGTATTCTTTGCTTGAATCTTTCCAATGATGTTTAAAACTGCAATTGATCAGTCTTTCATTGGCATATGTGCGTTCTGTGCGGATTGCCTCGATATTGCCTTAAGTCATAAGCATTATAACCAAAGATGGATGATGGCTAGCAGTGGAACTCATGATGTGCATTTCATTCTATTTAGGACTCATCAGCTGAATTTACTGGCATCCCAGATTTGATGTTCACTCCAGGACTCGTACCCAGTAACATTCACTCCAAACGCCATCGCTTTATCCACTTAGCTACTAAGTCCTGATAGCCACTTGCTTGTGCAATGGGATAAAGTTTAAATTCGTTTGGTATTGTTTGCTCGAATGTTCCCATTGATGCTTAGGACTGCAATTGGTCAGTCTCTTGGAGTGAGCATCAACTCTGGGATGACAGTACATCCAGCTGACGAGTCCTAAATAGGATGAAATGCGCGTCCTGAGTTTCACTGCTAACCACCATCCATCTTTGCTTATATTTATTATAATTTCTGGAATAATAAAAAGCTTTAGAAAGTCTTATTAAAAAATAGTTATGTGCACTATGAAGTTAAGTTGCATATATTCAGTGTGAAAGTTAGGCGAAGTGGCGTTTGAACTTTAATTGTTGATCTGTAGTAATCAATGTACTGTCACGTATAAATACGTTAACTCAACTTGCCACACCAGACTAATATGGGGAGATGAAATTAACGAGATGAATAGCAAAAAAGTATAAATATTGATAGTAACAATGATACTGAGAAAGATTCAACGCTGGAAAACATGATTTTAGAGGATGAAATTAAAAAGTACAAATTAAGGGATAGTAAAACTCAGGATCTAAGGGAACATTAAGGAGTGAATCTAATTGTCTCATCGTGACTGATACTAAGCCATATCATACGTCTCTAATGGACTAACTGAGTTTATAGCATGGAACACAACCAAACAGACTAATACGCTTCAAGGGATGATTCCCACTTCTTGGTATGGTCGCCTCCGTAGCCTTATTCCAAATTAAGTTCAAAACTACGACCAAACAGTTTGTGTTTAAATCACCGAACCATCATTTCATTGAGTCACAATTTAGTCCTGAATTAAAGAGATACTACATGAGTCCCTACATCGAAACAGTGGGAGCGTGATGTGAATTTGTAGCTAAATCATTGGAGATTCGTTTGGTTTTATTACTTAACCACTGATGACAATTCTGAAAAGAAAATGTAACTCTAGATTGTTACAAAATACGTGTTTGCATAAGAAAAAATAAAATCGATATCCCTATAAAACAATGGAAACCTCTCAACAAGAGATATTTGGTTAATCTAGATTATGACGGAAAAGAAAACGGTCATGATGATAGTGGAATTAGCTGTGCAAGATAATGGTGGAAATCGAGAATTACAAGAGAAAAAGGAAATTAATACATCTCTACAAACATTATTCACTGAGAAATCATAAGTTTGATTCCTGGCGAGATGTAACTTTATGCAATGTTGAGTATTATCAAATCAGAAAAAAAATTGTACAATACTTAATGGCTTTCAATAGTTGACATTCGAAAACGAAATTTAATGTTGCATATTGTTTTGTCGTCAGTCTATGCAATTCAAAAGATCATATGAGCAGTTATATAAATGACTCGATAACTCAGAGTTGATCTGATCTAGATTACATAATTGTGAATTCTCATCAACCAAGTATTTCGAAAAATTTAAAGATAATGTGGCCACAAGAATTCAAATCTACTTCACTTTCGTTACAGACTTTTTAGTTAAGTGAGCAACCAAAGTTCTACAGATCACCAAAACTCAGATCTTTAGATTTCATGTCACTCTACCTAGGAGAGTTGTAAAATTTTGATTCCAAACCAATGGTGCATATGGGCTCCAGGATCCTGAGGGAACAAAAGGTGTATGAACCTATCGTTGGTCACAGGCTACCATGGGACTGCATCTTCTGACGTTGCTCCACTGCCTTGTGGATTAGACCTTCAGGTCAAAGACTCCGGATGTGAATCCCTAACAAAAACACCTACTTCGGTTTGAGTGTCCGGGCAGTATCACAGTCCTCAAACAAATCAATAATAACTGCTACTGGCCTCATTGTCATTGTGTGAAACATATGTGTTTGATGCCCCTTTGCACTAACGTTTATATGTTCAAATAAAAATAAATGAAAGAGTGGAAAAGATAACCAATGTCCTATGATTTTTGATGGTTCACCAGCAAAATTATATCAATTATGGAAGTGTAATATGAGAATAGTGTTCATTTAAAATATGTGTGTATTTGCACAAGACACATTTCACAAATAATTCGATCATACCCACACCAGTTAAGCATTCTCACTAAAAAATACTAATGATAGTCAATTATAAAAAAAAGTGATAAGATTGAACGTGAGAGAAATGATATCAATACAGAAAGAATAAGTTGTCACACCACTTTAGGTATGAGAATAGATTAACCGTTATCAGATTAGGTGGTTTAAGATTAGAACAAATTGTTTCTCAACAGATAAATTTCCTAAAGGGCAGGAACTTACACAAAACCTAAGTATATATGCCACATAGTAATTTCTGTTGTTTTAATGATATTTTTTGTTATCGAGGGTCATGACTTTCTAGCCTGCATTCACCATATGACGAAGTTAACTCATCTTGATGCCATTTAAACACCGATTCCACCAGCCCTGACTGCATCATCCTATTACTCCACTCTATGTATGTGTGTCTATACCCATGTGAATTGGTAGATGACGTAATCATTCATGTGATATTGAGGCCCATATTGAAACATGGGCTTATTCCTTCCAATGAAATTTAATTAGGTAGCACAATATATCCTTTTGTCCGTTTTGCATGCAATTAAAGACTACGCTGTATGATTCTTCACTATACGCTAAAGCGATGTTAGAAAGGGCTTAAATGTTAACTAAGTTGCATACTAATCTACAAACTTTAATGGATATCCGTTTAGTATCAATATTCCAATCGTGCATACATTTGATAAAGGAATGCATCAAAATATCATGTGAAATTGAAGTGCAAATTATAAGTAGTAGCAAAATATTTTAGGTACACACACACAAGTACAATGTTTATGATCATATGACTTGATTAGTAAAAATGAAAGTACTGCTAATATTCGGAAATAGTAAACATTGACAGTACTACTGATTATATAAGTGAAATTTACAACATTGACATACAGTACAAGATTTTTTTTCTTCACAGACAAATATGTTCACCGTACAGTGACATATAAAAGTTATGGTATTGAAAGTTCACTGTGAAGTGTTGGCGATATACATAGTACTGAATTAAAAATGATATAGATATATACAGACCTTAGTTGTTTTCAATGATTATTCTCAAACGATTATATCAACATAGAATAAATGGAAATCAAATATAATGATAGATAGTACCCGTTACAACGAAATATTTCGTTTATATATGAATATCAATGTAACAAACTAAATACTTTGAATTGGAAAACACCACATATAGTTGATTTAATGAGGCGAATAGTGTGAAAGTACGACTGATAGGACTATCACACGAATAGTTACTGTTTATAATTTTATTGTATAGTTAATAGACACCTGAATTGTTTATTATTACATTATCCTGTTTTTAAACTTTTATTTAACTCACATATCATTGTCATGTCTTATTATTCCTGATTTATTACTAGTTAATTATTCCCCCACTGCCACTGGTTTTGTATCACTTACAACCAGGTTACTTACACATTGTGATTCGTTAATTGCATTGATGTGTGGTCTGACACTTTAGATACATAACTGAACGAGTTTTTAGTCATGATTGATCTGAGTACACCAGAGAACTGATCTGCTTTCTGTCTTCGTTTTATGACTGAATACTGGATTAGAAGTTTAAGGACCGATAATTGTTAAGGTCTTGGTTATTGTTCACTGGTCGGTGTGTATATTGGTTTTGAGGAGATCACTGGTCTTACTGCCAATAAAGGTGCAGTAATCGGTAATTATACTTGAGATAGAGGCCATATAACTTCATTCCTATCATTATGATTCAATCATACAGTAGTCAATACAACACAGGCAATCTGGTTGTTTTTCCGATATAGCAGTAATATCACAGTTTAATATAGTTTTTGAACATATTTATGATTTGTGTCTTTGTAGAATGAAATATAAGTTGATTGAAATTACTAACCAACATACTTTATTTCACTGAATTTACAGTTAAGTGATTATGAGATAAGTTGCTAGATCGAGTTAATCATTAAATCTTGATTTTAGTAACACAATAATCACAAGTTACTTTGAAATTACGAACTAATTTAAGCCCAACCACCGTTTAAAACCTAGAACTACTGAACGGCCGTTTCATACTAGTATGGGACTCTTCAAAAGTACAGATACACGACCCTAAAACCGGGAATAGAAACCTTAGATCTCGCTCACGAAGTCTTAACCTCTATACCACTGACGCGGGGTCCATTAGTGCACAAAGTTTAGCTTCAATCAATTCCCGATATTTTGCGACCATTTTCCATTCACTTTGGTATGTGTCTTCCCCACACCCAACACGGCTGAATCCTAATGGTCACGACTTCTCATAAGAACGCGAGAAATTTCATTTTGAAGCTGGTCACTAATGATAACATGATTCACACTGATGAGTACTATACCATCCAGTGCTTCCACGTTTTCAATGGTTATCTAACTTAGATCGGTTCGTGATTTCAGTGAAGTCCAACAGTCTCTGTTACCCATACTAGCAATCATAAGTTAGCAAGAGAAAGTTTAATAGGTCATAGAACATTACACTTGTCACGAAAGACTAAAATATTTATGAAAGCAATAGGGATTTAACTAGCAACTTTTAGGTCAGTCAGTCATATATTTAGAATGAATTTTAGGGAAATACGATTGACTTGAAAAGTCAGTTACAATCAACTTAGAGACAAAAATGCATCGATTCAAGTTGCAATAGTGAGATGAATATCAGAGCACTAGAAGCAGCTATAGTATAGTAAAGGAGACAAGGTTTAGACGACATGACTCGAGAACAATGAATGAATCCGAGGAATAAAATGCATAAGATAATTCTAAAATTCAGGATTTAGGGGGAAATAGTGATCGCATCTGAGCTACGTCATTCAATATTAACCATTTTTACGGCAATGAGGCGGATAGTGACCAAGAATTCTACATTTGCCAACAAGGGTTAATCCAATTGTCAATGAATTCATGGACCGATATCACATCTTACATTGGTTATACTTGGAATTTTTTCAACAAATCCCTACACTGGTAAACGTTGCTCGTTTTTATAAGCAGTGGTCGGGCATATGTAATACATGTTATAATCGCCTAATTAAACAAGCATTCACAAGACTTGAGTAAAAGGAACAGCTAGAAATAAAATAACTTAATAAAATGGGCGCTTGTTTATTTTGAGCTCAAGTTCTATTCTATGAGTAGTTCCCATACAGATACCTCCTACCCAGATGATACAAAAAGCTACCCAGCATAGGATCAAACCAATGCATGATATCACATCTTGAAGTCAATGACTGATGAGTTAGACCGCGTTTGAAAACCCAAACTTCTTGGTTGAAATCAGTTTCCACACCCAAGTAAATGTGTTGCTCGGAGTCGAGTACAAAAAACTTTATTTCGTACATAAGTTACATCATTACTTCAATTCATTTCCTCCACAACTTGTCAGTATTTTCTTGTTCTGCTAGTGTGACGTGAAGCAAATTGTGTCAATACATATTTGTGTCAGGTCCTGAGCTGTTAATGGCCAAGTAATTAATTGGTATAGGGATGAAATTCAATCTTCTGTATGGAACAATTAGATACGAACGGAAATGTAACTTATTCGTCCTTGGAAAAAAATTACCACATTAGTCTACGACTTTCTTCAAGAGTATTGCTGAATTGTCGTCCTTTTCTATGAATAAACTCAAAAACTGTAACACATGAATTCCAAACACAACAATCGAAACCCTTTCCAAATTAAAAAAAAGTACAAACAAAGTAAAACATACCTGCCTCAAATAGAACAAGATTTGAACATTGATTTTTACACCCAAGTAGATGATCATCAATAACAATATCATCTTTACTATCAACAGTGGTCAATGATTTTATCGTTGTATCCGTTGTTGGTGTTGTTGTGATTGTATTAACTGTATCATTTTTCATGGTTGTTTGTGGATTCATAAGGCTATCGACATGTCGAATAATGCCTTCCACCTCACTCGTAGATATCTTCGGGACACTAAACAGAGTAATAACAACAAAAAATAGTACGAAATGAAATTTCGGGTAAAGTGGAAAAGACTGAACAATGCCTCAAAATTATTGACATTATTTCGAAGCTAGACCACCATGGAAAACCTGAGAGCACTGGACGGTTGTTTCATCCTACTGATAGGTCGTTGGTTAGAATCCCGCAAGTGAGATCATGGATCCGCACTGATGAGGAGTCCCACAATAAGACGAAATGGCCGTCCAGTGCTTCAAGGTTTTCCATGGTGGTCTAGCTTCAATTGACTTATGATTCCAACTATTGAAAGTACTATAACCTCTACAAAACCCCTTTAGATAATAATGATAATAATAAAATGGGCTTTTTTTAATCAATACATAAATTTAATAAAAATTAGTTGAATGATTGACAATAAAACATAAAACCGTGTCATTTGAATACATAACAAATTACCAGTTATTAAAAGTAATTTTCAGTAAAAACTAATTTGTGCAGCAGTGTGAATGTTGCAAATTATTGAAGTGTTAAATGTAAAGTAACTTTAAAATTGATGTAACCAATTAATAGATTACTTGTTACTGAAGTGAAAAAAAACCCATCTTAAATGATAAAAAAAGGAATCTTAAAATTTTTCAATTAATTGACATATTGAGTATAAATTTATTCGTTAAAATTAAGTGAAACAATAAGTGAACAATATTGTTTTCGATTAGGTCTTCACCAAGCTTTACTCTAATATTACTTACTTACGCCTGTTACTCCCAATGGAGCATAGGCCGCCGACCAGCATTCTCCAACCCACTCTGTACCGGACCTTCTCATGTCTATTTCCATTTCTCGGCGTAATGTGTTCTTTGGTCTTCCTCTCCTCCTTTGGCCTTGAGGATTCCATGTGAGGGCTTGTCTTGTGACGCAGTTGGGTGCTTTCCTCAATGTGTGTCCTATCCACTTCCAGCGCTTCTTCCTGATTTCTTCCTCCACTGGGATCTGGTTCGTTCTCTCCCACAGTACGTTGTTGCTAATAGTGTCCGGCCAATGGATCTGAAGTATTTTGCGTAGACAATTGTTAATAAACACCTGTATTTTCTGGATGATGGCTTTCGTAGTTCTCCAGGTTTCTGCCCCATACAGTAGAACTGTCTTGACATTTGTATTGAAAATCCTGACCTTGGTGTTGGTTGACAGTTGCTTTGAGTTCCAGATGTTCCTCAGTTGTAAATATGCTGCTCTTGCTTTGCCGATCCGCGCCTTCACATCTGCATCAGATCCACCCTGTTCATCAATGATGCTGCCCAAATATGTAAAGGTTTTCACATCTTCCAAATCTTCTCCGTCAATTTTGATTGGAATGGTGCATGTTGTGTTGTATCGGAGAATCTTGCTTTTCCCTTTGTGTATATTGAGACCTACTGCTGCTGAGGCTGCTGCTACACTGATCGTCTTCTCCTGCATTTGTTGTTGCGTTTGGGATAGAAGGGCCAGATCATCTGCGAAGTCTAGATCGTTCAACTGCATCCTAGATGTCCATTGTATCCCGTGTTTTCCTCCAGATGTTGACGTCTTCATGATCCAGTCGATCACCAGGAAGGGTGAGGGTAAACAATCTTACCTGACACCGGTCTTTATTTCGAACGACTTTGTCAACTGTCCTCCATGCACGATTTTGCAGTATAATCCATCATATGAGTTCTGTATGATATTGACTATCTTCTGAGGCACGCCGTAGTGTTGAAGAAGCTTCCATAGTGTTGTTCTGTCCACGCTATCAAATGCCTTTTCGTAGTCAATGAAGTTGATGTAGAGTGATGAATTCCATTCAATTGATTGTTCCACAATGATCCGTAGAGTTGCGATTTGGTCTGTACACGATCTATCCTTACGGAATCCTGCCTGTTGGTCTCGAAGTTGAGCGTCTATGCAGTCCTTCATCCTGTTTAACAATACCCTGTTGAAAACTTTTCCCGGTATTGAGAGAAGAGTGATGCCCCTGTAGTTATCACAGTTGCTGAGATCGCCTCACTTTGTTATCTTGGTTAGTTGTCTTTCTTTCCAGTCTGTTGGTAGTTGCTCTTCATCCCGAATCTTGCTGAAGAGAATGTGGAGTATCCATGCATTTACTGCCACATTTGCATGCAGTGCCTCTGCTGGAATGTTGTCTGGTCCTGCTGCTTTGCCACTCTTGATTTGTCTGATGATCATGCTGATTTCTTCAATTGTTATTGGGCCAACATGGATTCGAAAGTCCGTGGGTGCTGCTTCGATGTTGGGTAGGTTCAGTAGGGCTGGTTGATTCTAAAGTTCTTTGAAGTGTTCGACCCACCCGTTTCGTTGTTCTTCAATGTTGGTGATTACCTTGCCTTCCTTGCTTTTCACTGGTCATTCAGATTTGCGATGATTTCCAGACAGTTTCTTTGTTATGTCATACAATTGTCTCATGTTTTTTTCTCTTGCAGCCTTTTCCGCCGTCGTTGCTAAATCTTCCACATATTTACGTTTGTCGGTTCTGATGATCCTCATCACCTGTTTGTTTAATTCTGTGTATTCAGATTGTGCCTTAACTTTCTCTGCTCTTGTTCGGCTCGTGTTGATTGCTGCCTTCTTGTTCCTCCTTTCCTGAATGTTTTTCAGTGTATCAACAGTGACCCATTCCTTGTGATGGTGCTTCTTGTGGCCCAGGACCTCATGACATGTTGAATTGATTGCCTCTTTGATCCCCTTCCAGTTGCTCTCCATATTAGTTCCTTCTCCATTGAGTAGTTCATGAAAGGCCTGGAACTTATTGCTGAGGACTATCATGAATTTGTTGAGTTTGTTATTATCCTGAAGAAAGGCCGTATTGAACTTTTGTGATATTGTTCGCCCCGTTGTTTAGTACTTCTTGAGTTTCAATTTCATCTTGGCGACCAGCAAGTGATGATCTGATGCTATATCAGCTCCTCTCTTGGTTCGCACATCCTCGATCGTCCTCCTGAACTTTTTGTTGCTGCAGATATGGTCTATTTGGTTTTGCGTGGTGTGATCCGGTGAAGTCCATGTGGTTTTGTGAATGTATTGAAATCCCCCCATCAGAATGGTCAGGTCCTTTGTTGGGCACTTCTTGATTATTGACTGCAGCCTATCGTAGAATTGATCTTTAGCGTCTTCATTGTAATCGTTGGTAGGCGCATATCGTTGGATGATGTTCATTGTAATCCCCTCTTTCTTTATTTACTCTAATATACAATAATATTTGTATGTATATACGAACTAAATTTCAAAAACTCAACGACGTTAAAGACATAAATATGAAAGCAGAAAAATTGTTGACTAATTAAAGTAAAGGAATACTTATTCTAACTATACACGATTAACTTAAACCCACTGGATTGAACACATCACAACTCTATGGTTTACCCAAAGTTTACAAGACAGGACTTCCTCTTCGTCCAGTTTTAGATATGTATAATTCACCTTACTATAAAACTGCAAAGTGGCTAATTCGAATCCTAGTAGTCAAAAGAAGTGTGAAATACGTTTTCGATTTCATTTCTAAAGTTGAATATATGAACTTAAATGGGAAACGGATGATATCTTTAGATATTGCTTCCCTGTTCACCAATGTACCATTAACTGAGATTATTGACTTTGTGTGTCAACAGCTACTTGAAAAACGGATCAATATTGAAATCCCCGAATTTAGTCTCAAAGAATTACTTGTGAAATGTACAGTAAATACCTATTTTGTCTTTAATAACACATATTATAGACAAATTGATGATATAGAGATGGGTTCACCTCCAGGTCTTATCCTTGCTGATTTTTTTCTGGCGAAACTAGAAAACGGACCTCTCAAAAAGGTTATCGATAAGCTTGACTTCTATTGTCGTTATGCTGATGATACTTTCATTATAGTTTATCAGAAAATTGGAAAAGAAGAACTCTCAGTACTATTTAACAACAAACATCCAGCAATTAAATTTACGTGTGAAGAGGAACTAGATAATAAACTACATTTCCTCGACGTTTTGTTAAACAGAAAAGAAAACGGTTCTATCAGTAGAAGTGTGCATAGGAAAAGTTCTTCATCAAGCCAGTATGCACATTACTTAGGCTTTGTACCTATTCATTATAAGAGGATCCTTGTCAAATGTCTTGCAAATAGAGCTAGAAAGATATGCTCAGTCGATACTGTTAACAAGAAATTAGGGCTCATACATAATATGTTGACTGAAATGGGTTATCCACAAGGTTTCCTGAAGACACACTTGTGCGTAACAAACAAGAAAATAGCTACATCAACGGCTAGCAAGAAACCTCCCTTCCTGAAGCTGCAATTCAATGGAGATGTAGCTGGTGATGTACTATGTGATATAGACTGACTAGAGCAGTGAAGAGAACGTTTAACGCAGCCAACCTCTGTCTATCGTACACGACCCGATCTATGGTGATTCCTCAACTAAAGGATAAGTTACCTGGTTATGCCACTTCTATGTGTATCTACAAACTTAGCTGCTATATTGGGCTATATTGTGCGCGCACTACCAGACAAATGAGCCAAAGATTTAGTGAACACCTCCTTTCGCGGTTAGGAACAGGTGTTGTCAAGGCAATACGCAGCTCGGTTCTATCACATTTGATCGATAGCGGTTATGTAGTAGACAGTAATAAGTCATTTAAAGTTATTTACCCTATTCCCACTAGTTTTCCTTATGGAGTTCGACATCGTCTCCTGCACATAGCAGAAGCTATAGGAATTCGAGCCAACAATCCAAGTCTTTGTGTTCATAAAGAATCTGTAACACCCTTATCTCTCCCTTGGCCTTAATAAGTGATTTTATTTATTATTATTTTCCATACTCTTTCTTCGTTTATTTTCCTTTACCTCCTCCTACCATTTTCTTTTTTTCTCAAATATACAGTTTCACGGTCCAATTAACTGGACACTTCTTATTACGTAATCTTATAATCTTTATGAATGTTATTTCAGTGTCTATGTTTTTCTAATCATTGACCTACTTCCTATTATTGTAACATTGATTTAAGCTTTTATTATTCTTATCACACCTGTCATCACACTACCAATTTGTACTTTTCACTTATTATGTTTATTTATGTAATCTATTCCACCGTTATCATTGACTCATAAACTTCCTTGATTGGTTTAATAACTTCGTATATGCATATAAATGTTCTTGTATATTACAGTAAAGCCTGATGAGGATCTAATCGAAAACAATATTGTTCTAAATCACAATATGGGAATTTTTCAGAAATTAATAAATAACGGTAATAGTATGGTGTGTGCTACTCATGTTGACAGACATAACTAGTATATAACAACAGTCAAAAGTTGAATGTCTGGCAGCAGAAGGCTAAGAAGATCGAATTGTGAGTTGGAAGAATCATACAGAATGTAAGGCACAACTGGTGGGAAATTTACAACTGAAGTATTATAAGTATGGTTTTCACAATTTGCCAAAGAACTCTGTAAATATGGTTATCCCAAACCAAGTCTCCATCACTACAATAGTAGTAATAACAACGACTAAAATTATTATTCAATATTGATTATTATATAGCTTCAGTGAAATGGATATCATCGATAATGTTAAATCGATTATCGTTATGCAACTATATTGTACAGTGACTGAAGTTGTAAATGTTATCGTGTCAGATGAGTAATCTATGAAATTGAAATTATATGTTACACCATAGAATAAAGCATAATATCCACTCCGCAACTCAGTAATGCTAATTAATAGAATAGACTCGACCATAGATTTAAATGACGGAGTGGTGAATGTTTCTTGTTGAAAATGTATGACCGACTGCTTTATAACAAGCGCTTCATAATTTCCAGTCCTGTACATGACTACTAAAAGGTTATACGATAAAGGCTTCACAAAAAGTATACCGGTATAAATTGTCACAATTTACAATGGTACAGATGGAGGAAGTCACAATAATAGACTTAATGAAAATAAATAAATAAATGTGAGTGTAACATTTGATTCATAGTGTTCACACGAGATCATCATTATTTTAATCGACAACCAAGTGTACTGTAGTGGTTACTATACGATCACTAATGTATCTAAATCACGGGGAATAATGGGCTATATTCTGAGGTATAATATTAATTTCATGGACTGTTGATATAAGGAAAATGTCTTAATGATTGACATCTGAATATTTGATAAAAACTTTTATGTAACATTAAAACAACTGAAGATTCGATAAAGAAATTTTAGAGCAAGTCAAGGTAAATATTTAGACCCAAGTTTATTTATTTGAACCTAGATACCCTTGTACGGCCCAGGGTGTGGAGAGTCGGCTCTCCCTGTCGAAATGCTCTAGCATATACAGCCACTGTCAGGGAAGCCATACTCACTACCTTCTCGTGGTAGGGGTGTTGTCTAAGAACTGAGAGAACGAAAAGCGAATATCTTGCGCCTTAACCAGTTTGGTGAATGTGCAGGATTCACGTGAGATAGCTGGAAAACCCTGGTTCCAAACCAATAGTGCACATGGGTTCCAGGATCCTCAGGGAGCAAAAGACGTACGGACCTATTGTTGGTCACCGGATATCATGGGACTGCATCTCTTAACGTTGCTCCACTGTCATGTGGATTAGACCTCTAGACTAAATGATCGGAGGGTAGCCCTCTAAGAAAATCATCTGTGTTCAGTTCGGGTGCACGGGTAGTATTCCAGCCCTCGCACAAATCGAATGACGATGTTAGCGCATATATATTTGGTGCCTCCTTGTACCAATGTTTATGTGTTTTAATAAATAAATAAAATAGTAGACAAGTATAACCGACAAAAAAGTCATATGTTATAACACAAATGACAAAGACAATTCAACCAAACAGCGTCCTTCAGAAACCCTCAAGAGAACTCTAGAAAAAGACAGATTGTGATGCCAGTATTTGACTCGACACAAATATGAATTTGTGTATCGATCTTAGCATGTGTTACAGAAGCTTTTAAAAGCTCAACTTCACGTATAATAATGCGATTAACCTTGTTTTTTAACATGAATTGGTCTTGGAAGTAAATGCTCACGAGTTAGAGACTTATGAAGACTAGAAAGAGGTTAGAAAGTCAGTATTTAAGCGTTTGAATACAAAATATATCGCTTTACAAAAAAATATATTATGAAACAAAAGATTAGTGAAATGATATAACTTACTAACAAGAGAATAAGCTATGACTTCTTGGTTTTACAACAACTGTCATACTCTCGAGAGTTTTTGGTGAACTATTATTAGGAAAAGATACAGTAGAATATGAATTATCCGGCAGGATGAAACGTTCAGATGGTATTTCTTGAACACTAACAAGCATCTGAAAAAAAAGAAAACATATAAGGTTCAACATCAATGACGTTTTATTTAGTAAACCGACTGGAGCCATACTGAGAGATTGACAGTTATATTTTGAGCAAGTATTTTCATGATACATTTAGTCTGTGAGATTTCCATATTATTCTAATTACAGGTAGCCATTTGACTTGTTTACAGATGTAACATATTTTACCGTTCATAAATTATCACGAATTAATCACAGACAAATTATTCAGATTTGTACCATAAATATCTCTCGTTATGTACCTACACTGAGGCTTATCACTTATGGTTGAATTATAGTCTTATGTTTCTCGTGAATACAATCACGTGAGTTTGCAAGTCACAATAGTACAAAATAGTGCAAAGTCCTGAATATTCTGATTATTTGTTAAAGAAACAAGTGAGAATTTTGTCCGTGCAGATGAATCATTCAGTGTAAATATATTAATCACGTTATCGGACTCACAGCTATGGACCATAAACATACAGAAAATTTGTGATAAATAAGAATGAAAAAACAAGCACAGACGCAGAGCAGCACTCTATTTAGTGGTAGAATTATATACTTCCAGCCATAACTGTTGGGGATGTTAGATTCCCAGAAATCATTTGGTAAACGTCTTGTTTCATGCAATATTTGTTCTGGCTTTATTTAAACATCTTATTTTCGTAATTTTGTTTTGGAAATTAGAATTTCTCGTTTTCGCAACAGAAGCGCCTACTTTTACCTTCAGTTTGTATTTCTCACTTGGGAGGACCTTAAATGTCATTGGTTCGTTTCCTCTTTTAGTACGCTATTATGTGACGTTTTCCAATAACATTTTTGTACTGTATATACATACGTATGAGTTGTGTGCTTGTTCGTTCGTGCTTCCGACTGCTTGGCGAATATACTTTTCCCTTGGTTGAGTCAAGTCTTCTCCGTCTAGTTATCAGGATAGAGTCCCAATTATCGTATGATCCTGTAAGAAGGCCCCTGTAGGAATACACTGATTAGTTCATTTTTGATCAACTACATGTTAGTGGACGAATAGAAGAAATGCTAGATTCTGTATTAACTCTGTTTACACAACATTATCTTTGCTTTTTAGATTATCGAAAAATATATATTGTTCACTTTTAACTCCTGTTCTGATTTGACAAGTATCAAGTGAACCAAAGAGTTTAATGGATATTAAACAAAGGAATATTATAACTGATTGACGGGAGTTTGTATCATTCATAGTTTTCAGTTATTTGCCTTTAATCGTCTTAACATTAATAGTTAGCCAATCTGTATGTTAGGCATAAACAGTATAGGACTACCTGCGGAAAAAGGTTCATTAGCTTACATTCTTATAGGACATTACTTGTATAATAAAATGAATCCCAAACGATATGAATTAATAGCGTTATTAAAAATACTAAAAAAAAGGACTAAATATAGAGTATATGGTTCAAAAAAGAGTGGATCGACTAAGTAAATTGATACAAATGAAAATAAGGTCAATACAAACCATGTATAAAAAATAAACTTTATACAACTATGTATGTGTAATTATTGTGATTGAAATAGTTAAGCCAGGTTTACCCTTTAGGCATATCGAACAACATATTGTATACGGATTCTGAAATCTGACATGATTATGCACTTGTCGTTATGCTCACATAATTCTACATAAATAAAAAAATCAGTTCTGTAAGTAACCCCTAGTACTATACTCAGAAGAATTTTACTCCTCCCTCCTCCTAGATATTGATTCAGGTAAAACACTACTAATTATTAGCAATGAATTAATTGAATCATATTGAATGAGGAGTTCAAATTGGTCAATGAAACCAAATGATACGACGACATCAGTAAATATGGCAAAGGCATATCATACTGATGACTTTGAGCGATTTATTAGCCGATTAGAAAGTAGTGTTTAGTTATAAAAAAACAATTAACAATAAAATGTAGTAAAATGACAGTGGAATAACAGCTTTGATATTATATATATATATATATATATATATATATATATATATATATATATTTCTTCGTCTTTTCTCCTAAGTAACCACGCTCAGACACCGCACATCACAATTAAGCCAAAGTCCTCATGTTTCCAAGTACTATAGTAACCTGATTACACAGTGAATGATATGAGCGTTCTTACAAATAATATATATGTGCAAAACAGCTGAAAACCGAGGCGATCCAGTATGTTGTTACAGGTATAAGGGCAGTTTTTACTTCCCAGTTGTTCAGATCATGGAAGGATATCTCTTCATAAGGTAACTGAAAAGTCAACTGGGTTAGGAGTGATCTTGGTGACCTGAGGACATGATGGCAGAGCTAGGGCGATAAATGCTCAAGACCAGCAAAACGCAGTTTTCTCCAAGTGGTTTTTGATGTCCGTTCAGCATTTTTTAGGGCTTACCGCAGGGGCCGAGACTCCATAGGGTAAGTTGCGATGTCTATCTATTCTAACCCTTTTTTCTGTTGTGGGAAGCCAGAATCGCTGCAGGTGCTAACTTTTGAGATGAAACATTTTACTACAGTTACACCTCAGCACAATCAGTGGGACAAGTTCACACTTGGATCATGAGTTCGCTACTCTGAATCTTGATGCTCGTTATCTGATGCGCCTGGGATAGAAGAACAAATATTCCAGCCTATATAACTCAAGTGGGTTATCGCGACATGCTATTCTGACCACTACGTCAAGGTAGCAGTTATAGTCAGGATTGTAAAGTGTTAGTGATAATTTAAATCCAGCATAAAAATGAGACGGACAAAAATTTATAAGTAGTTTGACTTACTTTTGATTTTCGATGAAAAGTTTGACCAGAATTTTTTGATTTTAATGGACTCTTTGATTTATTATATTTTTGTTGAGATGATTCACTTATTGAACTAGGATAACTACTACTATTAGTAGTAGTATTAGTTGGAGAATTAGAACGTGCTCTTATGGGTAAAGGAAGACGTTTCGAATTCGACTTTCTATTTGATACATCCATAGGCAAAACACATGAATCTTGATCGATTTTTTTCATATGTGAATTAGATTCGGTAAATTTAACTGAACGATATCTTTTCGATTCACTGGGAATATGTTCGACAATTGATGATGTTGAGTGATTATTATTGCTATCTATTTCAGGATTTGAAGAATCTTCCAAGCTTAATGCATCAATACCTTGATCTACTGATAAGATTGATGGCATTTGATAGCTGGTACTAGCACTAGCGCAAGTTTCATTATGAATGAGCTTTATTGACGAATTTATAAATGATGAGATTTTTGAAGGTTTTTCATTGATATCATGTATTTGTTGAAATCGATTTGGAATATTACGAAATGTTGGAGCCGTTAATCTTGACTGATTAACACCTAAACGTTTTAACTCTTGGTCATATTGTTCATGAATAAGTGTCCTTTGAAAAAAATCGCAATAATAATAATAATAACACCATATCACCGGCTAACATGAAAAAATTAATAAAAGTAGTCTCATACATGATCTATTTGATAAGTTCAGAACACGAGCTGAGTATATTTATTTTTCCTATCTACACAATTATATCAAATTATATTTTGAGAACAAGCGGTGCATAAAAGAGTCTTAATGATTCTAAAAAGGTGGCCTTGAACTGATGCTTCTGAGTCCCATCAGCAATCGAGTTTGAAGAACACGTAGAACAACGACTCAATATCTAATTTCTGTGAAAAGTGGAGACTACCAGAGAATGTTAAGTGGTATTTATAGGGAAAACACAAAGAAAATAGCTTTGTTCTAGTGGTTTAACTTCCACTGCGGACGGTTATGACTTCGAGAAAGGTTCAGAACCACGATGTTAATGGAAAAATAGAATATATGCAATCTCTTGTGATTTCTGATTCACTATTCGCGTGAATTAAGTTTAAATAAACTTTTAGTAAACATTACTCGAATGAAACATTTAGGATTGATAAAACTATGTGTAACGAGGCATTTGAAGAGCTCGAATTTTAAGAAATTCCAGGATTGCTTTAAACAATGAGAATGAAGACAAAACAATTGAGGTTTTACAAACGGAGAGCACCTTTAGGAAGATAAGATTGATGTTCATTTTGTCTACCTAGAAATTTATAAAATCAAGTTTTTTTTATCTCATTTCATGTATTTATCGAATAATCCATATATACAATATATCTATCAAATGGTGGCAACTTAAAGATTTTTAACTTATTTATAGAATAAAATGTATAATTCAAGATAAAACAAGTTATAATATTTAGACAGATAGAGATATTTGATTGAGATCATGAATAATCAATGTCAGACCAGCATTGAAAACCTGAAAGCACCGGACGGCCGTTTTGTCCTTGTATGGGGCTAATCAGCAGTGAGCATTCACGATCGCGTACGCAGGATTCGAACCCAAGACCTTCGGTAAACGTTAAAAAATCATTCCAAATATTGAAAATTCATTCACACAGTCTGACCTTAGTATAGTAATCTATCTTTGTTTGACTATCGAAAAATGGGAATTGTAGTTTTTTAAAAGTAATAACTATTTCTTATAATTATCCATTCGAATTCATTATCTATTTCTATTAAGTTTCCATGGGTTTTTACCCTCGCTTTTTCTGAATGACAATGTTTCCTCTAAGATTCTGTACTAATAATATTAATTTAGATCTTCAAAATGAATTAAATATCAAATACTAAGTTGTACTTGGTTTGACTATAGTTGGTATACTCAGACTCTGTGGTTCCATAGTATATTTGAAAAGTTTATCTGTAGCCATAATAAATTTTACGGAAGTCATCAGTTTAAAATTTGGTCCTGATTAAACTTTATTATTATTATCATTATTCGTAAATACTAAAAATTATTACTCATGAAGTATCTGTAAGTAAATGAGAATAAGTTATCAATTATTGAATAGTGAAACTCAATAAACATGTCAGCATTCATATATGATCTATACTTAAAAATGATATTTATTGTATGACAGCTAGATTGATGACTATGACTAGCTAACCGACTAACTGAAGAGACTAATATCTGAGTGTGACAGTTGAATAGTCGGTGATTCAAGGACTCCTATGAATGAAACAAAACATAGCAAATCTAAAAATCAACTGAAAAATCAAACGTACAACTTAACTTGTAATTCCAAAATGTAACTTTCCAGACTCGCAGTCGTCTCTTTATAACAGTTTAATTGTTCTTTATATTTATTTAACTGGGTAAACTGTTTTTGAATCAATTCTTCATGATAATGCTGAAAAAAAGAAGGTCGTGATTGATGCAACGGGCAGAAGTGAAGTTTGGGGATTTCTATTTTTATTTAGAATAAGTAATTTGTTATCTAATAAGTTATACAGTCTTGGGGTTAGCTTCCTCTACACAGTGATATGAGCTACAGAAATACTGAAAACCATTGAGAGCCGGTTACATGCTTCAGCATAGAGTAAAGGACTCATTGAAAATATGTACCTATGACTCTATACGACATTTAACCCAGCACCTTTGAATCACTGAGTCGGATTCCCAATAGTCGATTACATTTTTGACTGCATTATCATTATTAAGTGCCATCATCATAGATATCTACCTCAATGCGATAAAAAATAGTAGTTTTATTTATCTCAGACACATTATTTGCCAATCTACTGAACCGTTTAAAAAAGTTACTAATTGACAGAATTAAAATTTGCTAACAAAAGACGAGAATTCTTAAGATAACTAAAGACCTTATATTTTTAAGCCACAAAATAGGTGGTTACGCAGAAGTTAAAGAACTTAAATTTCAATTGATGTGCTAAAATTTCTAACGCAAACGTATTTATAAAAAAATATGTCCAAAGAGGTAATATTAGTAACCCCATAATCCAGTGAATATGAAGTATATATAACTGTAGATGGTCGTGTACTCATCTACTGACTATATGGCTTATGATGACTAAAAGAATTTTCATCACACACTTGCCTATCGAAAATAAGACACTGTTCATTTTAAATTAGACAATAAATTATACATGTAAAACACACGTTTTGACTAAGACAAATGTTTTCAGTTTTATAACTTGGAAATGTGAACCATTACTGGGTCCAAAACTCAATGGTTTAAAGGCAAGGGCATGGGTTCGTATTACTCAAGAGTCCCATGTCAGAATGAAATCTGTGTTCAGTGACCTCTAGGTAATGTCAATTAATGATATGATCTACAAAAATCGTCCGTTTCGTAAACCCTAAACTAACCTGAATGTCAAATTATTAATTGCACACATACACAAAGACGAAAAATAAATCAACTAGAGAACAGTACAAATTTGAAATATATGGCAATATTGTAGAGTATTACAAGCTGGATAAAACCTTTGAAACAAAAGTCTCAGGGTAAACACCAACACTAAAGCCGAATAACTTAATCCAAAAAAATCAGATACCAATAACCAGAAGTAGACTGATACAAATATAAACTGTGAACAAGAAATGGAATAATTCTACAATATAAAAGTGTCTTACATGAACCGTATCAAAAGGTGTCTGTTTTCACTCTTACATAGACTGGACACGCATCAAAAATTTTATTTGACATAGTAAGATATGACAATAACACAACTCATTCATTAGGTATGAATTCTCACTCTTTGACCTGGACCAGACGTTGGGCATAAGATTTGTTTAAAGTGAAGTAGGAGATGCATAACTGAAACCTATTGGTTTAAAGTCCGATACTTTAGGCAGCAAGCTGCTGCTCCACAATTCGCTGTCAGCATTTAGTTTATTGGGTCAAAGAAAACAAAATAAAAGTTATGATTTATTACAACACCTATACTTATGTTTAGTTTATGGCGAGTTTTAATATAAAACTACTAATGTGCATTTTTAAAGTACGTGGTTTAAATTCTAAATATTCACTTAAAACAAATTTCTAACACTTTCACTAAGAAAATGACTTTATCAGAGTGTATTAAACTAATATCATTTAAAAGAACGGGCAAACATAGAATAAGATTAACAAATTTACTTTAATTAAGCTTTTAAAATTAGTAAAACAATTATGCATGGGAAGTTAAAGTTATTTAACAAAATTATAACCTACAGTTTGAGTAAAAAACTATTAAAAACAGTGGGTCTTGTTAAATGTATTAATTGATATTTCCTAGGTTTGAAAATTCGAAAGTGACTTTGCACGCAAACTTTGAAAATAAGTCTTATATGTCAACTAGTTTTCTCCTTTTGATCATTTTTTATTTATGTAAATAGACTAACATTGGTACAAAGGGGCACCAAAATATATGTGCGCGATAGAAATTAGTTATTATTCAATTAAAGCATGAGGTGAGAAGCCGTCCAGGTGCCCAAGCCGAACACAGATGGTCTTTCTAGAGAGCCACTCCCCTAGCTTTCGACCTAGGGGTCCAATCCGCAAGGTAGTGGAGCAACGTTAAGAGATCCAGTCCATGGTAGCCGAGGACCAACAATAGATTCGTATACCATTTGTTCCATCACGATCCTGAGGTCTATGTGGATCACAGGTTTGGATTCAGTGATTTCCAACTATCCTACGTGAATCCTCGTTAACCACTAACCCGGTTAGAGCGTCGGATATTCTCTTTCCGTCTACTCCATTTCGTAATTAACACCCCCGCCGCGAGAAGGCAGTCAACAGGTTTTCCCTAGCAGTGACAATATACGCCTGGTTTGAGCTGTTGTAGAAAACTTTTAGATTAGGCGAATAATTTCTGTAGAATTTCGTTCTAAGCTGATTGGTTTAATCGTAAATCTGTCAACGACCAAAGCTTCACGATTAGGAAACCACACAGCCCAGAAAACGAATGTCCATCCAAACTGTAATTTTATTACTTTTAAATTAAAAACCAAGACAATGAAATGGATGGAATTTAATAGTTACTGATCGTACTGATAAGTTTTGACTTATAGTAGTGGTTAATTTAACTATTGAGGATACTTGACAAAACTATGCTCCTAGCTGAAAAATATGCTGTTTACTATCATATTATTTCACGAAAACTAGTCGGTCAGTCAGTCAGTCAGTCAGCTACAACGTAGGACCAGGCACATATGTGCATCGGTCCAGGTTGCCATACCTCGTTAGCACAACAAGATGAACACCGGATTCATAGGAGTGGTTAGGTCAAAGGTTGCAATAAGGATATAGTATAGGAAGGAAGAATTAGTTCGTAGAAAGAAAGATATGAAGTGATTTTAATCTCTTAGTTTAAGGGAAGACAGGGAGTGTATACACCTACGCCATTGTGATCGATTCTGAGCCATGTCAACAAGAGTCTCCAACCATTGGTTACGAAAGTCACGCGGACCCCAACCAAGTAGTCTGCATCTACCAACATGGCTAAGACTAGAAGTTAGTGACTTCAAGCACTGATGCCACGTTTTGGTTTGGCCGCCCCTAACTTTTTTCCAACCATCCCCTACACCGGTTAGCATTGCACGTCGTGGTCAAAGAATGGTAAAAAGTAGAAGTCTACAACTCACACTTAAGCAATAAAAATATGTGGGAGTTGTAAAAAGAAAAGATTAGTTCCGTAGTATTTCTAAAGAACTTGTAACGATTCCCAAAACTTTTTAAGTATTAAGTGTAACGTTTACCTTGGCTTTGATTTCGCATAAAATCAACCGATTACACTTTTATTCAGTTCGGGGTCGATATACCAGTATTCATTAAAGTGAAACTATGTTTTTGAAAATGGAAAAAGCGGTCTTACCAGTTGTTCTAAGGAATAAACCTGATTTTGTTTTAATTTCTCAAATCCATAGCGCCACATACATCTCGATTTTCTATCCTCAGTATTCTCGTTTCGACACTCACAAATTGCACTAAGTTTTGTTTCTAAACTGAAAAAAGTAATGAATAAATTCTTAATCGTAGAGTAACTTTGGATTATATTTAAGTCATCTAAATTTAAAACATACCTCTGCTTGAACAAAAGAAAAGGCGAGAAATCAATTGGAGAAACACAATAGGAATATTCCACGAGTTCAGTTTTAAAGTCCAAACTAGTTCACTATGATAAGCCAAGTTTGAATTCTTACTTAAACTGTACATTTTCCAATCCTACGAGAGAAGCAATTAAATTAAATATTTCTTCCGAACGGAAGATAGCATCCCGGGAATAATATTTCCTAGAAAAGTAATTTCAAGAGGATAAAGATAGTAATACTAAAAGTAATACAACAAAATTATGAAAATTGTCGTGAATTTTTTTCACAGAACTAGTAGTAACCATAGAAAGCAGGAAATAATTTACACAACGGGGGAAAAAAATAGTAATAGAACAACTTAGTTTGCTTGATTGTGAACCAAAGTTATTGTGTTACTGAAGTAAAACCAAATGAACAATGGTTTTAACCTGAAACTTATTAAATGAGTCTGGTACCCCTAAGCACGACGAAAAGGAAACCACACTATGACAAGCAGTTCTGTGTAATGCATCGAATTGAATTACAAGTATGTATTAAGTGTCTAAAGGTTCAGAATGGACTGCGATAGAAAAAGCTTACCATTTACCTTCCCCTATATACTAATTGGCACTATTGTTTCATACATAACATATTTTCTGAAATGGCAGACAATGCCAGACAGATTCTGGGATAAAGCTAATCCAATCGAGGTTTTCAATAGCTTGCAATCAAACGACGTTATCGATGACCCTACTTCTAAGTTAACCCAGTTTATATATGATGCATTAAAGTCGCCTACTACAAGGCTTTTACCCTCGTTACACCAGAACTTAAGTTTACTTAGAAGAAAATCATCTGCTACACATTCTGGACTGCGATATACTACAACTAATTCAATATCTTGCCGTCGGCATTTCAACTTACATCGCACCAGTTCACATGTCCCTGAAACATGTGCCAGTCTCAGTTAATCTTATGGTTAGGGTACTTTTCGTGTACAGGATAACCCCGCCTCCCCTTCGATTTAATCTATCAGCCCTACTGGTTATGAAACCAGTCAACTGAATTTCACTATCTAATACTTCTGACGTTAACCAAGTTTCCGAGACAGCAATAACATCTGATGTTTCTTTATCCACCATTGACTTGAAGTGACCCAGTGAGGCCTTCAAGACACTCTCAGGATGAAATTATTCGGCAGAAATTCGGTTCTTCATGCGAGTACATATTTGAATCAGGCGAGGTGAAGCTATGTACTTTATCAGGTTTCTAGATATTCATATTTACAAAGTAGGTGGAGAATTTTGAGAATAGCAAAAAGCATTTGCCAATTATCCAACTCGAGATAGCTTTCATTGTGAACAAAATTTCAATGCAAAATATACATCCGTTAATTTACATGACACGACTTACGTCAAATTGGGCTTCAGTTGAACTAAATCTAGCATTGCAGAGTGCAGACAACACCTAACAATAGACAGTTTGATCCAAGCTCGAAGCTGGAACGTTGCAAGATTAAAGAAGCTGATACCTTTGAAAAATCACTCTTGAGATGATCAAGAAGTTTCACTGAAGACGTATGTGAAAAACTGGGTAAATTAGATAATTGAAGTATGAGACACCAAGGGTGCTTTGAGACTTTCTTCCCAGCCAGAAAATTGTAAGCTGAGCATTACGAAATCCAAAAACCTACATTTTAAACCATGGTAGAATAAATTTTCTAAAACTGCAAGAAAATTCTGAACATCCGGGAAACTTTCATCTGGTATTCGATGGACGGAAGACTCGATTTGCGACTTTATTACTAATCTATACAGAAAAATCTACTTAAAATGTGTAACTCATTACTCAGCCACTTGAAGTAAACTTTTTCTTGTGATTCTGTGTGGACTAGGACGGACTACATCCATAAACACGAACAGGTGATCAGAAGGCTGACCTTGAGTTGAAATTCCCAGTCATTTAAAATCCAATAGATTTCAGATTCAGATTTGTGTAGTAAGGATGGAAGGCCGACGGCCTATGTTACTCCTTTTCTAGTATGCTTCTCTGAGTGTCCAGTCTTCTCTTGAAAGCGTCAGTTGAAAGTGCGGACACCACTGCTTCATGCAGCAGGTTCCAAGTTCAAATGGTTCAAATGGTTGTGGACGGAATAGAAGAAGCTTTCGCTTAACAGGCTTCCGTGTCTAGTAGCAGGAGATCACCAAATCCTCCAGGCAGGAACCTAGGTATGTTAACAAAAAAAAGAGGAAAAGAAATTGGTAAATCATAGTGTGATGTTGTCCTTGGTCCTTAAGAATAGGTCAAGTTGCCCCTTGAAGGACTCCTGAGAAGTCGTTTGGACTAGCTCGGCCGGCAGCGAATTCCAGCATTTGACAACTCTTAAGGAGTAGAAGTTGTGTCTACATTCCGTCTTGCTATGTTGTGTTTCCAGTTTCTGGGTGTTACCCCTTAGGTTATTATTCGAACTAAGTTTAAGTAAGTGTTTAAGAGGATGTCCAGAAGTGTTAAGAATACTATAAGCCATTAATAAATCACCTTGAAGACCCCTATACTCTAATGGGTAAAGGTCTAATGAATGGAGGCGTTCTTCGTAAGGTTTAGATTTGAGTCCTCGAACTGATTTCGTGGCTCGACGTTGGATACGCTCCAAAGGGACCTTGTCCTTTTGGAGTGAGGGAGGGAGTACTATGTTTCCGTACTCTAAATGGGGACGGATGAAACTATTGAAGATTGTATGGAAAGTTCGTCCGTCAAACTGTCCCAAAATGCGCTTCAACGTTACCAGTGCAAGGTTTGCTCGGAAGGCGTTTTTGTCACAGTTAGCGTATGACTTTGAATCATGGGGCACCAGGACTCCTAAATCTTTTTCTACATGGGATACTACTAGAGAGGAGTTTCCTAAGTTGTAACTGTACTTTGCAACATGTCGCAGATGGACTACTTTACACTTTGAAGTGTTAAAGGTAAGTCCGTTATCGTCTGGCTCGGTGAGAAAACCTGTATGCCACGGGTATTTTGTTCGTTCTTGGCTTTTCTACTCGCCTGCTATGTCCTCTTAGATGTCCCGATCTAGTGGGAAGAAAGAGAGAGAATAAGTTAGGTCCGAAATCATTTCTCAGTATTCTGTACATCAAAATTAGATCTCTCCTTAGTCTGCGATAGGACAGAGTAAGGAGGTCCAATTTTTCAAGCCGCTCTTTGTATGAAGAACCCCGGAGTTCCGGAATTTTCTAGTATGTCCGAGTCACCTTTTAAGCAGGGGTCTGCAGCCTGAACGCAGTTCTCTAGCTCAGTTCTCACTAAGGATGTGTATACTGTGGTGAGCATAGTAGTATCTAGCTTAGTGACTGTCCTTTTTAAAACCCAGAGGGTTCGAAATCCCTTGGCTGCAACCGCCCGGCAATGGGCCGTCGTCTTAAGATCATTACTCACTGTCACTCCTAGATCCTTATGAGACCGGACTACTGGTAATGACACATCCCCTATGTTGTACTTATTAACCATTGAATCCCCCAAGTGCATGTAGACACACTTTTCCGAGTTGATAGGCATCAGCCACTCCTTAGACCAGTTTATCATATTATTTAAGTCTGCCTGAAGAGTAAATGCGTCTTTGTCTCCAGTTACTACTCGCCAAATTTTTACATCATCAGCGTATAATAACATTGGAGACTGTACTACAATTGTAAGATCATTAACGTACATTATAAAAAGTAAAGGACCTAGGACGGAACCTTGTGGTACTCCACTAAGTACTGGTCTCCAGATGGAGCACTTGGAATTTATTCTTACTTTTTGTCTATGACCTACTAGAAAATCTTCAATCCATTTTAAAAGAGGTCCGGCAATACCAAGGTTTTCCAACTTCAATAGCAATCTATTAGTTGGCACCTTGTCAAAAGCCTTACTGAAATCCATGTAGACAACAGCCACTGAGCTTCCGTTGTCTAGCGCATTAATCTAGAACTCCCTAGCTAAAAGGAGGTTCGTTGTACAGGATAGACCCTTTCTAAAACCATGTTGTGCCATCTTCAGCAAGTTATTGGTTTCTATATATGCCGTTATGGTCCGTTTGATTATTCTTTCTAGTATTTTAATTACAACACTAATGAGACTTACGGGTCTGTAATTCGATGGAACTTGTCGTAGACCAGTTTTATGTATGGGAGTGAGGTTTGCGTCCTTCCAGTCCATAGGTAACACACCTTGGTCAAGTGACATTTTGAATATCACATCCAGTGGGGCCGCGATATATTGGGCAATGTGTCTCGAGATTTTGGGGTGTAGTTCATCTGGTCCTGTTGACTTCTCCATCCTTAGGGTGCTAAGAGTCTTGAGGACATCGTTTTGGTCGAATTCCACGGTGAGCATCTGGTTTATTGACTCCGTATTTGGGTCTGGTTCTTTCTCTAGAGGAGGTGCCTGAGTGAAAACTGACCCAAAATAGTCAGCCATAACCTCTGCTTTTTCCTGATCTTCCTCTATCATTTCAGATTCACTTCCTAATTTAATTAGGTTTATGTACGAGAATATTCTCTTGGGCTGCTTGAGTGCAGATTGTGCCAGCTGCATTTCATATTTTCTTTGAGCTTCCCGAATTTTTGTTATACACTCGTTCCTTATCGATCTGTAGCATTCCATCGTACTTGCTGTGCCGAGGCGGATGGCAACATCCCAGCATTTTTAATTTTGTCTTAGTAAGAGTCGAATATCCTGCCCTATCCAGGGGTGTCCGTGTTCTTTTTCTTTGTGACAGTCCAGGCTATGTATGGTTGATTTACCCGATTGTATAACTGCCTGAATAGAGTCCATGCCTCTTGTACTGATGCCTTTGAGTCAATTTCCCAGTTTTCAGCCGATGCTGCGGAATTAATTGCCTGCATATCTGCCTTCCATATGTTAGGACGGGCCGGTGCAACTGTTTGACAGGCAATCTCAGCCAGGAATTTGAATAAGATGACTGCATGGTCACTTCTCCCAAGTGGTGGGAGAAAAGCCATTTGACCAACGTCATCACCGTGTGTGAAGACTAAATCTAAAAGAGAAGAAGAGTTTCTTAAGTCGTATCTTGTGGGATCTCTAATGTGTTGGAATAATGCTAGTCCAATCGAGGTTTCTAACAGTTTTCAGTCGAACGAAGTTATCGATGACCCTACTTCTAAGTTAACCCAGTTTATATATGATGCATTAAAGTCGCCTACTACAAGGCTTTTACCCTCGTTACACCAGAACTTAAGTTTACTTAGAAGAAAATCATCTGCTACACATTCTGGACTGCGATATACTACAACTAATTCAATATCTTGCCGTCGGCATTTCAACTTACATCGCACCAGTTCACATGTCCCTGAAACATGTGCCAGTCTCAGTTAATCTTATGGTTAGGGTACTTTTCGTGTACAGGATAACCCCGCCTCCCCTTCGATTTAATCTATCAGCCCTACTGGTTATGAAACCAGTCAACTGAATTTCACTATCTAATACTTCTGACGTTAACCAAGTTTCCGAGACAGCAATAACATCTGATGTTTCTTTATCCACCATTGACTTGAAGTGACCCAGTGAGGCCTTCAAGACACTCTCAGGATGAAATTATTCGGCAGAAATTCGGTTCTTCATGCGAGTACATATTTGAATCAGGCGAGGTGAAGCTATGTACTTTATCAGGTTTCTAGATATTCATATTTACAAAGTAGGTGGAGAATTTTGAGAATAGCAAAAAGCATTTGCCAATTATCCAACTCGAGATAGCTTTCATTGTGAACAAAATTTCAATGCAAAATATACATCCGTTAATTTACATGACACGACTTACGTCAAATTGGGCTTCAGTTGAACTAAATCTAGCATTGCAGAGTGCAGACAACACCTAACAATAGACAGTTTGATCCAAGCTCGAAGCTGGAACGTTGCAAGATTAAAGAAGCTGATACCTTTGAAAAATCACTCTTGAGATGATCAAGAAGTTTCACTGAAGACGTATGTGAAAAACTGGGTAAATTAGATAATTGAAGTATGAGACACCAAGGGTGCTTTGAGACTTTCTTCCCAGCCAGAAAATTGTAAGCTGAGCATTACGAAATCCAAAAACCTACATTTTAAACCATGGTAGAATAAATTTTCTAAAACTGCAAGAAAATTCTGAACATCCGGGAAACTTTCATCTGGTATTCGATGGACGGAAGACTCGATTTGCGACTTTATTACTAATCTATACAGAAAAATCTACTTAAAATGTGTAACTCATTACTCAGCCACTTGAAGTAAACTTTTTCTTGTGATTCTGTGTGGACTAGGACGGACTACATCCATAAACACGAACAGGTGATCAGAAGGCTGACCTTGAGTTGAAATTCCCAGTCATTTAAAATCCAATAGATTTCAGATTCAGATTTGTGTAGTAAGGATGGAAGGCCGACGGCCTATGTTACTCCTTTTCTAGTATGCTTCTCTGAGTGTCCAGTCTTCTCTTGAAAGCGTCAGTTGAAAGTGCGGACACCACTGCTTCATGCAGCAGGTTCCAAGTTCAAATGGTTCAAATGGTTGTGGACGGAATAGAAGAAGCTTTCGCTTAACAGGCTTCCGTGTCTAGTAGCAGGAGATCACCAAATCCTCCAGGCAGGAACCTAGGTATGTTAACAAAAAAAAGAGGAAAAGAAATTGGTAAATCATAGTGTGATGTTGTCCTTGGTCCTTAAGAATAGGTCAAGTTGCCCCTTGAAGGACTCCTGAGAAGTCGTTTGGACTAGCTCGGCCGGCAGCGAATTCCAGCATTTGACAACTCTTAAGGAGTAGAAGTTGTGTCTACATTCCGTCTTGCTATGTTGTGTTTCCAGTTTCTGGGTGTTACCCCTTAGGTTATTATTCGAACTAAGTTTAAGTAAGTGTTTAAGAGGATGTCCAGAAGTGTTAAGAATACTATAAGCCATTAATAAATCACCTTGAAGACCCCTATACTCTAATGGGTAAAGGTCTAATGAATGGAGGCGTTCTTCGTAAGGTTTAGATTTGAGTCCTCGAACTGATTTCGTGGCTCGACGTTGGATACGCTCCAAAGGGACCTTGTCCTTTTGGAGTGAGGGAGGGAGTACTATGTTTCCGTACTCTAAATGGGGACGGATGAAACTATTGAAGATTGTATGGAAAGTTCGTCCGTCAAACTGTCCCAAAATGCGCTTCAACGTTACCAGTGCAAGGTTTGCTCGGAAGGCGTTTTTGTCACAGTTAGCGTATGACTTTGAATCATGGGGCACCAGGACTCCTAAATCTTTTTCTACATGGGATACTACTAGAGAGGAGTTTCCTAAGTTGTAACTGTACTTTGCAACATGTCGCAGATGGACTACTTTACACTTTGAAGTGTTAAAGGTAAGTCCGTTATCGTCTGGCTCGGTGAGAAAACCTGTATGCCACGGGTATTTTGTTCGTTCTTGGCTTTTCTACTCGCCTGCTATGTCCTCTTAGATGTCCCGATCTAGTGGGAAGAAAGAGAGAGAATAAGTTAGGTCCGAAATCATTTCTCAGTATTCTGTACATCAAAATTAGATCTCTCCTTAGTCTGCGATAGGACAGAGTAAGGAGGTCCAATTTTTCAAGCCGCTCTTTGTATGAAGAACCCCGGAGTTCCGGAATTTTCTAGTATGTCCGAGTCACCTTTTAAGCAGGGGTCTGCAGCCTGAACGCAGTTCTCTAGCTCAGTTCTCACTAAGGATGTGTATACTGTGGTGAGCATAGTAGTATCTAACTTAGTGACTGTCCTTTTTAAAACCCAGAGGGTTCGAAATCCCTTGGCTGCAACCGCCCGGCAATGGGCCGTCGTCTTAAGATCATTACTCACTGTCACTCCTAGATCCTTATGAGACCGGACTACTGGTAATGACACATCCCCTATGTTGTACTTATTAACCATTGAATCCCCCAAGTGCATGTAGACACACTTTTCCGAGTTGATAGGCATCAGCCACTCCTTAGACCAGTTTATCATATTATTTAAGTCTGCCTGAAGAGTAAATGCGTCTTTGTCTCCAGTTACTACTCGCCAAATTTTTACATCATCAGCGTATAATAACATTGGAGACTGTACTACAATTGTAAGATCATTAACGTACATTATAAAAAGTAAAGGACCTAGGACGGAACCTTGTGGTACTCCACTAAGTACTGGTCTCCAGATGGAGCACTTGGAATTTATTCTTACTTTTTGTCTATGACCTACTAGAAAATCTTCAATCCATTTTAAAAGAGGTCCGGCAATACCAAGGTTTTCCAACTTCAATAGCAATCTATTAGTTGGCACCTTGTCAAAAGCCTTACTGAAATCCATGTAGACAACAGCCACTGAGCTTCCGTTGTCTAGCGCATTAATCTAGAACTCCCTAGCTAAAAGGAGGTTCGTTGTACAGGATAGACCCTTTCTAAAACCATGTTGTGCCATCTTCAGCAAGTTATTGGTTTCTATATATGCCGTTATGGTCCGTTTGATTATTCTTTCTAGTATTTTAATTACAACACTAATGAGACTTACGGGTCTGTAATTCGATGGAACTTGTCGTAGACCAGTTTTATGTATGGGAGTGAGGTTTGCGTCCTTCCAGTCCATAGGTAACACACCTTGGTCAAGTGACATTTTGAATATCACATCCAGTGGGGCCGCGATATATTGGGCAATGTGTCTCGAGATTTTGGGGTGTAGTTCATCTGGTCCTGTTGACTTCTCCATCCTTAGGGTGCTAAGAGTCTTGAGGACATCGTTTTGGTCGAATTCCACGGTGAGCATCTGGTTTATTGACTCCGTATTTGGGTCTGGTTCTTTCTCTAGAGGAGGTGCCTGAGTGAAAACTGACCCAAAATAGTCAGCCATAACCTCTGCTTTTTCCTGATCTTCCTCTATCATTTCAGATTCACTTCCTAATTTAATTAGGTTTATGTACGAGAATATTCTCTTGGGCTGCTTGAGTGCAGATTGTGCCAGCTGCATTTCATATTTTCTTTGAGCTTCCCGAATTTTTGTTATACACTCGTTCCTTATCGATCTGTAGCATTCCATCGTACTTGCTGTGCCGAGGCGGATGGCAACATCCCAGCATTTTTAATTTTGTCTTAGTAAGAGTCGAATATCCTGCCCTATCCAGGGGTGTCCGTGTTCTTTTTCTTTGTGACAGTCCAGGCTATGTATGGTTGATTTACCCGATTGTATAACTGCCTGAATAGAGTCCATGCCTCTTGTACTGATGCCTTTGAGTCAATTTCCCAGTTTTCAGCCGATGCTGCGGAATTAATTGCCTGCATATCTGCCTTCCATATGTTAGGACGGGCCGGTGCAACTGTTTGACAGGCAATCTCAGCCAGGAATTTGAATAAGATGACTGCATGGTCACTTCTCCCAAGTGGTGGGAGAAAAGCCATTTGACCAACGTCATCACCGTGTGTGAAGACTAAATCTAAAAGAGAAGAAGAGTTTCTTAAGTCGTATCTTGTGGGATCTCTAATGTGTTGGAATAATGCTAGTCCAATCGAGGTTTCTAACAGTTTTCAGTCGAACGAAGTTATCGATGACCCTACTTCTAAGTTAACCCAGTTTATATATGATGCATTAAAGTCGCCTACTACAAGGCTTTTACCCTCGTTACACCAGAACTTAAGTTTACTTAGAAGAAAATCATCTGCTACACATTCTGGACTGCGATATACTACAACTAATTCAATATCTTGCCGTCGGCATTTCAACTTACATCGCACCAGTTCACATGTCCCTGAAACATGTGCCAGTCTCAGTTAATCTTATGGTTAGGGTACTTTTCGTGTACAGGATAACCCCGCCTCCCCTTCGATTTAATCTATCAGCCCTACTGGTTATGAAACCAGTCAACTGAATTTCACTATCTAATACTTCTGACGTTAACCAAGTTTCCGAGACAGCAATAACATCTGATGTTTCTTTATCCACCATTGACTTGAAGTGACCCAGTGAGGCCTTCAAGACACTCTCAGGATGAAATTATTCGGCAGAAATTCGGTTCTTCATGCGAGTACATATTTGAATCAGGCGAGGTGAAGCTATGTACTTTATCAGGTTTCTAGATATTCATATTTACAAAGTAGGTGGAGAATTTTGAGAATAGCAAAAAGCATTTGCCAATTATCCAACTCGAGATAGCTTTCATTGTGAACAAAATTTCAATGCAAAATATACATCCGTTAATTTACATGACACGACTTACGTCAAATTGGGCTTCAGTTGAACTAAATCTAGCATTGCAGAGTGCAGACAACACCTAACAATAGACAGTTTGATCCAAGCTCGAAGCTGGAACGTTGCAAGATTAAAGAAGCTGATACCTTTGAAAAATCACTCTTGAGATGATCAAGAAGTTTCACTGAAGACGTATGTGAAAAACTGGGTAAATTAGATAATTGAAGTATGAGACACCAAGGGTGCTTTGAGACTTTCTTCCCAGCCAGAAAATTGTAAGCTGAGCATTACGAAATCCAAAAACCTACATTTTAAACCATGGTAGAATAAATTTTCTAAAACTGCAAGAAAATTCTGAACATCCGGGAAACTTTCATCTGGTATTCGATGGACGGAAGACTCGATTTGCGACTTTATTACTAATCTATACAGAAAAATCTACTTAAAATGTGTAACTCATTACTCAGCCACTTGAAGTAAACTTTTTCTTGTGATTCTGTGTGGACTAGGACGGACTACATCCATAAACACGAACAGGTGATCAGAAGGCTGACCTTGAGTTGAAATTCCCAGTCATTTAAAATCCAATAGATTTCAGATTCAGATTTGTGTAGTAAGGATGGAAGGCCGACGGCCTATGTTACTCCTTTTCTAGTATGCTTCTCTGAGTGTCCAGTCTTCTCTTGAAAGCGTCAGTTGAAAGTGCGGACACCACTGCTTCATGCAGCAGGTTCCAAGTTCAAATGGTTCAAATGGTTGTGGACGGAATAGAAGAAGCTTTCGCTTAACAGGCTTCCGTGTCTAGTAGCAGGAGATCACCAAATCCTCCAGGCAGGAACCTAGGTATGTTAACAAAAAAAAGAGGAAAAGAAATTGGTAAATCATAGTGTGATGTTGTCCTTGGTCCTTAAGAATAGGTCAAGTTGCCCCTTGAAAGACTCCTGAGAAGTCGTTTGGACTAGCTCGGCCGGCAGCGAATTCCAGCATTTGACAACTCTTAAGGAGTAGAAGTTGTGTCTACATTCCGTCTTGCTATGTTGTGTTTCCAGTTTCTGGGTGTTACCCCTTAGGTTATTATTCGAACTAAGTTTAAGTAAGTGTTTAAGAGGATGTCCAGAAGTGTTAAGAATACTATAAGCCATTAATAAATCACCTTGAAGACCCCTATACTCTAATGGGTAAAGGTCTAATGAATGGAGGCGTTCTTCGTAAGGTTTAGATTTGAGTCCTCGAACTGATTTCGTGGCTCGACGTTGGATACGCTCCAAAGGGACCTTGTCCTTTTGGAGTGAGGGAGGGAGTACTATGTTTCCGTACTCTAAATGGGGACGGATGAAACTATTGAAGATTGTATGGAAAGTTCGTCCGTCAAACTGTCCCAAAATGCGCTTCAACGTTACCAGTGCAAGGTTTGCTCGGAAGGCGTTTTTGTCACAGTTAGCGTATGACTTTGAATCATGGGGCACCAGGACTCCTAAATCTTTTTCTACATGGGATACTACTAGAGAGGAGTTTCCTAAGTTGTAACTGTACTTTGCAACATGTCGCAGATGGACTACTTTACACTTTGAAGTGTTAAAGGTAAGTCCGTTATCGTCTGGCTCGGTGAGAAAACCTGTATGCCACGGGTATTTTGTTCGTTCTTGGCTTTTCTACTCGCCTGCTATGTCCTCTTAGATGTCCCGATCTAGTGGGAAGAAAGAGAGAGAATAAGTTAGGTCCGAAATCATTTCTCAGTATTCTGTACATCAAAATTAGATCTCTCCTTAGTCTGCGATAGGACAGAGTAAGGAGGTCCAATTTTTCAAGCCGCTCTTTGTATGAAGAACCCCGGAGTTCCGGAATTTTCTAGTATGTCCGAGTCACCTTTTAAGCAGGGGTCTGCAGCCTGAACGCAGTTCTCTAGCTCAGTTCTCACTAAGGATGTGTATACTGTGGTGAGCATAGTAGTATCTAACTTAGTGACTGTCCTTTTTAAAACCCAGAGGGTTCGAAATCCCTTGGCTGCAACCGCCCGGCAATGGGCCGTCGTCTTAAGATCATTACTCACTGTCACTCCTAGATCCTTATGAGACCGGACTACTGGTAATGACACATCCCCTATGTTGTACTTATTAACCATTGAATCCCCCAAGTGCATGTAGACACACTTTTCCGAGTTGATAGGCATCAGCCACTCCTTAGACCAGTTTATCATATTATTTAAGTCTGCCTGAAGAGTAAATGCGTCTTTGTCTCCAGTTACTACTCGCCAAATTTTTACATCATCAGCGTATAATAACATTGGAGACTGTACTACAATTGTAAGATCATTAACGTACATTATAAAAAGTAAAGGACCTAGGACGGAACCTTGTGGTACTCCACTAAGTACTGGTCTCCAGATGGAGCACTTGGAATTTATTCTTACTTTTTGTCTATGACCTACTAGAAAATCTTCAATCCATTTTAAAAGAGGTCCGGCAATACCAAGGTTTTCCAACTTCAATAGCAATCTATTAGTTGGCACCTTGTCAAAAGCCTTACTGAAATCCATGTAGACAACAGCCACTGAGCTTCCGTTGTCTAGCGCATTAATCTAGAACTCCCTAGCTATAAGGAGGTTCGTTGTACAGGATAGACCCTTTCTAAAACCATGTTGTGCCATCTTCAGCAAGTTATTGGTTTCCATATATGCCGTTATGGTCCGTTTGATTATTCTTTCTAGTATTTTAATTACAACACTAATGAGACTTACGGGTCTGTAATTCGATGGAACTTGTCGTAGACCAGTTTTATGTATGGGAGTGAGGTTTGCGTCCTTCCAGTCCATAGGTAACACACCTTGGTCAAGTGACATTTTGAATATCACATCCAGTGGGGCCGCGATATATTGGGCAATGTGTCTCGAGATTTTGGGGTGTAGTTCATCTGGTCCTGTTGACTTCTCCATCCTTAGGGTGCTAAGAGTCTTGAGGACATCGTTTTGGTCGAATTCCACGGTGAGCATCTGGTTTATTGACTCCGTATTTGGGTCTGGTTCTTTCTCTAGAGGAGGTGCCTGAGTGAAAACTGACCCAAAATAGTCAGCCATAACCTCTGCTTTTTCCTGATCTTCCTCTATCATTTCAGATTCACTTCCTAATTTAATTAGGTTTATGTACGAGAATATTCTCTTGGGCTGCTTGAGTGCAGATTGTGCCAGCTGCATTTCATATTTTCTTTGAGCTTCCCGAATTTTTGCTATACACTCGTTCCTTATCGATCTGTAGCATTCCATCGTACTTGCTGTGCCGAGGCGGATGGCAACATCCCAGCATTTTTAATTTTGTCTTAGTAAGAGTCGAATATCCTGCCCTATCCAGGGGTGTCCGTGTTCTTTTTCTTTGTGACAGTCCAGGCTATGTATGGTTGATTTACCCGATTGTATAACTGCCTGAATAGAGTCCATGCCTCTTGTACTGATGCCTTTGAGTCAATTTCCCAGTTTTCAGCCGATGCTGCGGAATTAATTGCCTGCATATCTGCCTTCCATATGTTAGGACGGGCCGGTGCAACTGTTTGACAGGCAATCTCAGCCAGGAATTTGAATAAGATGACTGCATGGTCACTTCTCCCAAGTGGTGGGAGAAAAGCCATTTGACCAACGTCATCACCGTGTGTGAAGACTAAATCTAAAAGAGAAGAAGAGTTTCTTAAGTCGTATCTTGTGGGATCTCTAATGTGTTGGAATAATGCTAGTCCAATCGAGGTTTCTAACAGTTTTCAGTCGAACGAAGTTATCGATGACCCTACTTCTAAGTTAACCCAGTTTATATATGATGCATTAAAGTCGCCTACTACAAGGCTTTTACCCTCGTTACACCAGAACTTAAGTTTACTTAGAAGAAAATCATCTGCTACACATTCTGGACTGCGATATACTACAACTAATTCAATATCTTGCCGTCGGCATTTCAACTTACATCGCACCAGTTCACATGTCCCTGAAACATGTGCCAGTCTCAGTTAATCTTATGGTTAGGGTACTTTTCGTGTACAGGATAACCCCGCCTCCCCTTCGATTTAATCTATCAGCCCTACTGGTTATGAAACCAGTCAACTGAATTTCACTATCTAATACTTCTGACGTTAACCAAGTTTCCGAGACAGCAATAACATCTGATGTTTCTTTATCCACCACTGACTTGAGCTCCGCCATTTTATTTAGAAGGCTGCGAGCGTTTGTGTAGCATACCTTTAAGTCTGTGGAGAGCTTAACCTTGCCACCCAGAGTGGCTTGGGAATCATTTTGCTCCGAATTTTTACAATTTGAAAACCCTTAAGAACGAGGTTTCTTTCACCGTTTTGGCGACGCTCATTTATTTCCGCTTCTGCAGCTCTTCTCTTAATACGATCAGCTAGGCTGAGATCCTCACGGACATATATTCGGATCCAATCAGTTTACATGAATTACTTAGAATCAGGTTCCTTTCTTCCACCGTGTTGAATGTAACCTTTAGGAGGCGGTTTTTCTGAGGACTTTCGGAATCCACCTTTTTTCCTATTCTATAAAGTTTACAAATACTGACTCCTGAAACTCTATCTGAGAGTAGTTTACTTAATGATGTCTTAATATGATTGAGATCGTGTTCAAATCTTGCCTTTCGTTCTGTATTTGAAGATTCTCTTATCTTATGAAAAATGACTGATCTCTCAGAGAGATCTGTCTTGTCACGCAGTGAGGATTTTTCTTCTGATAACATCCCTTCCAACACCTTGCTGACCAGCTGCGTTTTGCCCACAGCCTTTTTCTTCCCAATTCTTTTTCTCCTTACTGAAGTCTATTTGTCAGCACTCAGGAGAGCCACACCTGAACTATGTGGAACGGTGACAGTTTTATCCGGATCTTCTATTTCGACTAGAGGTGTATGACTGCCGATGTCAATATCAAGCGACACTTCATTCCTCGTTAATGTCAACGGAGATTTCACGTTCCCGTCAATCACAGTCAGGTGTTTAACGGATCCAGTAGCAGTACTTACTACACTGACACATTCTTCACCATCAGCGCTCTTGTTATCAGTGCTTCCGCCATCGTTTTTCGTGCAGGCCAAAGCCAATAGGCCCATAGCCTCCTGAATTAGTACCTTTTTATCCGTACATCAGAACATACAAAGCCAATGAGAGTTAGGTTTCGAGCATCTTTTGTACACCGTCGGACTTAGTCGTGTACACATCTTGTGGTACCACCTTTTACAATCGTCACACTGCATTCCCTCCTCAACGGGGAACAAACAATTTGGTTGCCCACATTTGTGAGTCATACCAATCATTGTTATTCGATTTAAAAGGTTTAAAAACACAAAATTATCACAATGTGAACACAAGTGTTAGTCAAGGAGTAAAAACAGGTGCTCAGGACAAAATTTATCAAAAAATTTCAAACTTTAACCAAAGTACATTTAGATATAGACCAAGAATGCTTTTTAGTGCAATAAGTACCCAAAGCAAGTATAATCACAACAGGTACAAAAATCACTGCCCTTTTTGAAACGATATCTTTGTGGTAAGTATAATTCGGTTACTTTCTTTCTGA